ATTAGCAAACCAACACTCATTTACACGTTCTTACTCAGATCTGCTTTTATTATTGTGTATTTTTTAATAATTTTCTGTTAAGCTTTTAATAATAGTTTTATCTTAAACAGTATTATCTTTTATGCAGCTTAATTACATATCTACAAATACAATGTAAATACGAAATTGCCTTTAGGTTAACTTGTATTTCTTCAATATGCGTTGATTTCAATAACCATTAACCTGCGGATCGGTAGGTGATTTATCTTTGCAATCAGTTTATGGGCAGACCAGCCTGCACATCCGGGCAGTCTCACAAGACTGTATATTGTTGCCCGGCCTACTTCAAATTGTCATGAAGCTGAAAAAGTCAATTTAAGAAACTCTGCAGGCTGAACGTTAAACAAGTGCTTTTTATTATTCTTTTTATTTTCAAAGCTTGTTTAACAAAGCGATGGCAATGTCTTTTCATTTATCGTAACTATATATACATAGTGTTTACATAATCAACGTATACATTTTGTATATTTTATATTGTATTTTAGTGATATATTTACATGTATCTATAACATATCGATATATTTGTTGCCATGACAATCTTATTAATTGTGCTCAAACTAATTTATTCATATTTTAATCCTCAGAATCCAGGGTACATTTTAGGGCCGATGTTCATGACTACCTTTGTTTATAATTGCTTATTTAATTTCAATTGCTATATGTTTAATGCTTGTCAATAATAGAAATAAAAGTAAAAACTTCACAATTTTGTATTTGTTTTGTCACAATAATAACAGCCAGTTGCTGTCTCGAGTTTACGATTTCAGCTTCACGAATACACGATTTCATTTTCATGAATTCGCGATTTCAATTCATGAAGTTAAAATTGTAAATTCGAGGAGCTGAAATCGTGAATTCACGAAGATAAAATCGTGATTCACGAAGGTGAATTCGGGAAGTTGAAATCGTGAATTCATGAAGTTGAAATTGTGAATTCATGAAGTTACAATCGTGAAGCGAAAATCGTATATTCATGAATATGAAATCGGGAATTCATGAAGTTGGAATGTCCCCACCGGTCTTTCGTAGTTTATAAATGCCTTCACCTGCTGAATTTCTTAAATAAAATTACCTAAATTCCATTTTTGGGACTGTTCATTTTAAGATTTAGCGATATTATGATGAACATAATAAAGATACACAGCTTCGTACTTGGTAGCAAGGACTAATTTACTTACAGTTTCAGAAGTAAAAGTGTAAATGATGCCATGATTTACATATACATATTTACAATGATAAAAAATGCTTCAATTCACTGTTCCAAATATATTTCAATACTTTAATTATCAAATATTTTTGATATTGTCAAGGGAGCTAAATAACATATACATCTTATAACGTATCACAAATAAAGGTAATAAACTTATCATCCATGTAATATTGACATCAAATAGGACAAATAAAACCAGATGTTACCGCACCGTGATATAATACTTCAAAGTTGATTTTATACGGTTCTGGTGAATTTTTATGAATAAAAATACCCGATTCTCTTGTCATTGTAATATACATGTATATATATTTGATATTTGATGCCATTCATTTAGATAAAGCTATATAAACAAAACCTGAAGAAAAATACGAAAAAGAAAAATTCATGTTAATCCGTTTTGTAGACTACTTAACGAAGATATAAAAAAGAAAATTTGGAAATTGGAAATCAATTTATCATAATTAAAACCATCTCTTATCTTTAACATACTTCCTAAAATGATCTAAACTTTGGCATATCTTTATCTAAAACTCAATACTTTTTTTAAAAAAAATGGGTCAAACAAGATAAAAATCCTTCATGATGATAGCAACGTCTTTAAGGGGTCTCTCGTGCAAATATTTGGCATATTCTCTAAGCATACAGGGGTTTAAAGCCTCACTGTGAACTGTTTGGGGTATGTTATATTAAGACAATTGGTAGCTTAGAAGCGCCGATTTGATACATGCTATACATGTTTGTGAACTTGGTACACAATTATACATGTATAATAAAGAAGAGCTTTATATGTGTACTGACAGTACATACTTTTAATATTGATAGTAAAACGATTGTCAGTTTGAATACAGTAGAAATACAGTTATTGATGCACGCAATTCAAATATTTCCCTAAACCAATAATAAATGCAAGAGTTTTGGACCATTTAGTATCTATTATGACTTTAATGGAAAAATAAGGCTAAATTTGATTAAAGTATATGTCATAAATGTAAACTAGTTGTATATTTGTATCAAGTTATGACTGTTTAACAACGAAATAAAAAATTGTTATTAAAATAGTTTCACCCTTTATACCAATCTCAAATGCTTTCTTTAGGTTTTGGCAGCAACACAAACCACTGTTTTAAAAAGTAGATATTCATGCATGTAGGCACAAATTGAGTAAAGGTTTATTATAGAAAGGTGGACAAGTCTTCATGATTCTATAATTTTGTTTTTATTTCATCTATTATCTAAGTTATCTTTGATGATAACAAAATCAGATATGATTGTTTATGTACACGCTACTTTAAAGTCACGCCGCAACGTACTTTGGCAAAATAATTTAAACGTACTGTGTTTGTATATTGATATGGTTTTCTGGGATACCTAACTGCTTATTTATCTGAAACTTAAAACCAAGTGCAAAAAAACCCCCAAAAGAAACCGATGAATTATTTTATATTATTTCAATATAACTTGAGATCACCAAGTCCTTCAGATTGACAATACGAAGACAAAACGGTTGGTCTTGGTGTGTCTTTAATGATACATTGTTCAATACAAAATTGCGAGATATTGCATGTTGGTATATGCGTTAATAGTATATAACGACTCGAATACTAGTAATTGAAACATGATTTAAAGTTTGGTTAGCTAACAATCCATTCTAAAAATACATCTGATTGATATGTTTATTTAATTATGATATTGATACTTGTTTTTTCCTTAAAATAATACTTTGGAATAGTTTGTACTAGACAGTTTTGTAACGTGGTTGACGGGTATTACACTGAAATGTCGCAAGTTAAAGATGGTTGTGAAAATTCGAATGTTGAAGATGACGGATCGGATAAAGAAAGTCACGAAAATATATCAAGTTTAGAAAAAGCAGAGAAAACTTTCGACGAATTAACTTTGACGGAAAACACTGAATTAGGCAGGAAAGAAAACCAGGAAGTTGAAAAAGAAGAGTTATGTGATGAAGGCGACGGTTTACTAAAGCCATTGAGGAAACTAGGTTCTGCAATTATAAAGAAAATAGGCTCAAAAACAATAGAAATAGAACCGTACACTACGACTCAAGAGAATTGGACATACAGTGCTATTTCTGATGAAAGAAGAAAAGATGACGGTGAGACGGCAAAATCAGAAGAAGATATCCCAAAAAATGATGAAAAGACTGTTGATATAACAGAGAGCGATCATTACAATTTCACACACCAAAAACGAGGATATTTGCTGCTTATCATCAATGAAAAGTTCTATAATCAGGCTACCAGAACAGGAGCTCATTTAGATTTAATTAAAATGAAAGAAATTGCCAAAAAGTTTGGCTTTGAAATTCTAAATAATGGTGCCGAAACAAATATGACGCAGTCTGAGACTTTGAACTGGCTAAACAAGGCTCAAACCATGGACCATTCTGAATGTGATTGCTTCATGTTTATGATAAGTACGCATGGATTGGAGCAACGAAACCCGAGAATGGGCGGAGGTTTTGACCACGCCCTTGTTTGCGCAGACGATAAACTCATATTTACCAGCTCAATAGTTGAAATGTTTAATGAAACCAACTGCCCAAGTTTGAAAGGAAAACCAAAGATATTCATAGTTCAAGCATGCAGAGGTAAGAATATGACTAATGATACAATCAATATGTATGTTATCTTTCTCAGGGATTATCAATTCCAATGATTTTACTACTGAATGGAGATTGAATACTAATTAAGCCGGTGCTAGGAGGCGTGAGTGACGGAGCACCTTACATTTACTTTCAAACAGGCTCAACCAGTCTAGAATTTGGCCTTTTTTTCCATAGATATTTTATCACTTGAATGACATTTGTCTATATATTTGACATTGAAACAACTTTTCCGATACTATGAATAAATAACAGTATGACTGAATCAAAAGCCCCTTGGCCTTTAAGTTTGTCAAAAGGTCATTTTGATGTTTCACTTATACTGAACTAATTATTAAGCACATCTCTTTTGAAATCAATATGGTTATATATGTAAGTATAAGAAAATACTCAAATTATTGATAAGACTTCAGTGATGATAATATCAGACAAACACCGAACTTAAGATTTGTTAATATGATAAAATAAATATAATGCAGGAAATATGGTGGACCATGGAAGTGACTTGAAAATATCCATTGACGGTGGGAAATTTAGCAGCAATGTGAAAGATAGGAAAGGTAAAATACAGAATATTTAATCTTAAGTTATCATGTTGAATTAAGTTATCATATTGAATCTTAAATATCAATTTATTATTTTTCAGACTATTTATCGATAAACTTGATTTTTTTTGGTAATGTGACGTAATGATATTCCCATACTGATAAGGGAATGCCAGAAATCCACTTCCTTTTCCAAAATATAACATGCTTATAATTCGTACATTCTATTTATAGCCAAGTCTGACCAAGTAAGTCACGAGCCATCTGACGTAACTGACACAAAAGGTGCGCCGGATTCATGGCACAAAGAAAACTTACGCGGCATAGAAACGCCATATTTGAAATGTCACATTGACATGCTGATTATGTACGCCATTCCCCCGGGGATGCTGGCATGGAGAAACACGTCTGCTGGGTCGTGGATGATTAATTATATGCATGAAATTCTCATGGATTATGATATGGAAGCCCCTAAATGTTTTCTTAAAGATTTGACAAAAATTTCAAGAAAAATGGCTCGTCGGTCAACAGATACGCCATCAATGCCGGAATTTCACGAAAAGAAAGCTGTTCCGGTAATTGAGCACATGCTTACACGTGATATTCTATTCTCTTTAAAACATTAGTTACTATTAGATAATCAAAAATCATTTAGATGGTAAACTAACGCTTTGAGCCACAAAAAAAATCAATGTTGCCAAGATCTTCAGGGAGGTAACTAGAGTAAAATTTAGAAATCTCTAAAGAATGCTGGCAAGTATTATTTCCCTTGGTAATTTTTCAAACTTTTTAAAGTTATAGTTTTAATATTTTTAGTCAGCATTAATGAAATATTTTATGAAATGCTAAGTATGTTCTGGAGAACTTAAGAGTCAACGCCTTTGCCAAATATTTTATTACTATGTATGGTAGGTGTCACTTCATGTAAACATGCATACATGTATTTGTATATATTTTGGTAATAAATATGATAAATTGTTCCCATTAGTAACATGTTTATTAAAGCAACACATATTAGCACAGAGTAAGAAGAATTTGAACAATAACAAAAACTTTCTTTTTCAGGTTTAAGCAAGTCAAATATCATTCAAACTTGAAAAATAACGAAAACTTTCTTAATGTATAAACATGAAATGTACAGTGATGCAATTTAATTGTTAAGAAATCAAAAATGTATCCAGTTTTTTCCTGTTTTATACACCCATTAGAACTTCGGCGATAAATATTACGCACCTATCCGTTCATCTGTCTGTCCGGCCAATACAAATGCCTCTTTTGAACCAGTGGAAGGAATTTGAAACTATTTGGCAGAAATGTACGGACACATAATGAGACCTTTGGGCTAGCTCTGCATGTACCTCATTGGATAATGGTTTCATTAAGAGAAATAGTTAGAAAAAGCCGACACACTTTCTGCACCCTGGCTGTTCTATATTTAAGCAATCATTCTCAAAATTATCATAAGTTAAAACACATTTAACTTGATTTAAAGGTATACAATGTATATTCTTTAAAACACTTCTTAACATCCATAATTGTTTAATTGTTTTTACTTAAAATTGTGGAAACTTATGTCTAAACAACAACAACAGCAGCAGCAGTAGCAGAAGCATTGAGTCGAGTAACGGTACTGTGCTATAAATAACAACCTTTGGATATGTTTCATGACAAAATATCAATTAAATAGTGGCGAGATAGAAGAATATATATCCGTTAAGTATACAATAAACGCACGGACGCACACGCGCGCACACTTGTCACATGTTTTGAATTAAGTCATTACGTATTAAGAAGTCGGTATGCATATGATAAGAAAGATTATTTACTATTTCTATATACAAAATGTAGAATTGTGATAAAAAATGTTATAAATATGTAAATATGTTTAAAAACGGAAGATTGATTCCTACTGTATCACCTAAACGCCTTTAGCAAGCAGTTTGAAAAATAAAAAATGAAAAGGATATTGTACATATTATATTACGGTTTAAAACTATCGTGTAACAAATGTAGTTTTTCCCCATTTATATTGTATAAATATAAATACAATAAAAAGAGCATTCATATCTTCCTGATGTATATACTTTTTGGTCCTTTTGTCATAATTATGACGACAAATTACGACCTTGACCGCATTACGATCACTGGGTTAAAGGGCAGACAACTTAACCAAGAAGCGACCGCCGTTCCCCCATGGTAAATGTTGTTGATACCATATGCAAGATACAATGTATAAGGGATTTCAAGTCCGGCTGATACAAATAACAAATGAGCCACGTCATGACAAAACCAACATAATGGGTTTGCGACCAGCATGGATTCAGACCAGCCTGTGCATCCGCGCAGTCAGATCAGGGTCCATGCTGTTCGCTTACAAACTCTATAACAAGTAGAGAAACTGATAGCGAACAACATGGATCCTGATCAGACTGCGCGGATGCTGGTCGCAAACCCATTATGTTGGTTTGTCGTGACGCGGCTCATATAATAATAGCTCTGAGAATAAACAACAACCATGTAGTAATTTCATATAGCATAATAAGCGTAGATTAGACGGTTACAATTCAGTTGAATTTATGAAAAGAAACAAAGAAAGAAAATAAGCAAATTACAAAGCGTTCCAAACAAAATACGGTCAGTAATGAAAAGAATATCCATGCACAAATGAGACTGCCCCGCAATTAAGATCAGTTTGGTCCAGTTTTGATAAAAGGTTTTTACTGTATTGTGCTGTCATATTGACGATATAGACAATGATTTTTTTTCTAAATATCGAATCATATGTTATTGAGGTATTTTAACGTCTGCTTCAAAGCAGAAATGCCAAACGAGTTTTTGTTCAGTTATATGATTAAAAACACCTCCTAATGAACGCAACGCAAGAAATAGCAGAATTTTATATATTATATCATATTATATTATATTATATTATATTATAGTTAAAGTAAAATAAAATCTTTAAAAAATCGCCAAACACTAAACTGACGATAATATCCAAACATATCCCGTATATGGTATAAAAACATAAACATGTGTATTTTATCATAAAATATTTTGTTAAAGTGACATTATACCTATATTTTAAGTGCAAATTTTGAGTATACAAACAAATGTATAAATAAAACCTTCCACTTTGCCATAGCTGTTGTTTTAATTATATCTTAACTTTTATTTATTTAACAGAAACAATAAGCCACGTGACTCGTAAAATTTTATCAAGAATGTATTTTTAGTATTCAATTGACAAAAAGAGTGCAGCAGTATTTATACTTAAGACGTTTTTTTTTTATTCAAACTATTTTTTACGGTTAACACTTTTGGTCAATGGCTATTTTAATAGTCTATATTTTGAAATATATAACTCATTACTTAGCTCAACTTGACAAGATTAGTAAAATGTCACTTTAATGATATCCCTTATAGTTCTAATGGGCTGTTCCAAATTCAGAGCTAGTCAAGTCCATTAAACAGGTTACGGGTTAAATCGGAATCGGGCTTCTCAGCATGTGACAAATCACCGGAACGCATTTCAACTGATTATCGGTCAATTCCCTTTCAGACATTCTACCAGCAACTTCAGTCAGAACCTGCAAAAAATTTGATGGTGTGCGATTGGTCATAAGCGCCCCGTGCAGGTAATGTATCAACCAAGAACCTTTTAACTTGTTTCTCCAAGCATAAAAGCCGGGGGATGTAGCAAATACCACCAGCATATCGTTGTAACTTTTGAAATAAGGAATTTCTTCATTCCATGAATCCAAACCAGGCTTTGTATCAGGGATATCATCTCGCGCATGCGTAGTGGTATCTAGTTTGAGTGACAAAATAAAATGTGATAAATTTACAGAATGAATTTCTGAACAAAATTAAATACAAACAAGAGCTGTCACGCGAGTGACGAATGTCCCCGAAAAGGTTTCCTAAGCATGCAGGTATTATGAAAATAAAAGAGAATGAAAGTAACTAATTGCTTAACATTGTTTTTTTTTGTGTGAAATGAAGTGCTATTTCTAGCAAACTTTACACCTTGTGACAAGGGTTTTGGATGCGACACATCATCTTGATGTGGTAGACAATGCATGTCAATGTTACAGTTTGGAAACTAATGTGTACCTTCAAACTCTTCTTATGAGCATAAGTACCTTCAAACTATTGGAGTGGCCTTGACCTTGGAAGTAGGAACATGGGTCTTACACACAACACATCATCTTGGTGTGGTAGACATTTGTGCCAAACTATTTTAACTCTTAAATGCATGACAAAGTTATAATCCAGACTTGAATGTGAGTACCTATCATCTCTAATTGTGATAGCGTGACCCTTCAAAACATAAGTGTGACCTTGACCTTTGAAGAAAGGGCAGGGTTCTTGGATGCGATACAACGCTGTCATGTGATAGACATTTGTGCCAAGTAATTTCAAAATCCCTAAATGCATGACAAAGTTACAGTCTGGACATGATTGTTTTGTAAGTTGGGAGCCACGGACGGACGGACATGAGCCTTAGCCGCGCCAAATTGTCTAGATGTGGTAGACATTTATGCCAAGTTATTTTAAAATCCTTTGATGCATGACAAAGTTACAGTCCGGACATCAATGTGTATCTTCAAACTCTTCTCAAAAGAATAAGTACCTTCAAACTATAAGTGTGACCTTGAAGGTAGAGACATGGATATTGGTTGCGACACATCGTCTTGATGTGGTTGACATTTGTGCCAAGTTATTCTAAAATCCTTCCATGCATGACAAAGTTACAGCCTTGTCACGACTGTGAAACTTCAAAATGTTTGTATGACCTTGACCTTTGAGGTACGGACGTAATTCTTGGACGCGACACATCGTCTTGATGTGGTAGACATTTATGCCTAGTTATTTTAAAATCCTTTGATGCATGACAAAGTTACAGTCCGGACATCAATGTTTATCTTCAAACTCTTCTCGAAAGAATTATAACCTTCAAACTATAAGTGTGACCTTGAAGGTAGAGACATGGATATTAGTTGTGATACATCGTCTTGATGTGGTTGACTTACATTTAAAGACCAAGGCAAAAATCACTACATAGCATATCGATATAACATGATAGTGGAGGCGCGAGTAGTACAAATGACATGGTTACGATTTTATCGCTGGCGCCTGGCATAAGTGTAGAAAATTAGAAGGTAATTGTATGCAAACAAAAGGTGTCTCATATCAAATGGCTGGACCTCAGTAGGGTGACAACTAAATAAAAAGACTTTACGTTTACTTGTAGTAAGGACATGAACTTTATGCTTACTGTCAATTAGAACAATTTAGAATGCATACAATAACACTTACCGATGGGGCTAAAACAACACCAACAACAAAACAACAACAACAACAACAACAAAACAATTACCACTCTCATCTTTCTTTGTGCCGCTTGACATGACGCTTGTAGTTGGAACCTCGACTCCCGCATCGGGGTTTTGTCCTATAAAGCAGAATGTATTTTTTTCAATTTAATTATGATTATTATTAACCTGAAAGGAACTCCACTGAGGTCCAAAAGCTAAAAAAATCGGGAATGTGCGCCATATAAGCTTTAAAAATAAACACATTGCAAAGAGCAAAGAAATATAATACGAGTATATGATACACAGTTATCTAATAAATACGTATAAACTTATCTAACCATTAATACATATCTTAAACCAGAAGATGCCCCTGAATTCATTTGAATGTCATTTTTCACGAATATTAAAAAATGTTTTGCTTTCATTAATAATTTTTCAAACCGGTAGGGGACTAATAATAATAATAATTTAAATAATAATAACAAAAACAACAACAATAACAACAATAATAATATTAATAACAACAACAACAACCACAATAATAATAAACAACAATAATTATAATAATAATAATAATAATAATAATAATAATAATAATAATAATAAATAATAATAATAATAATAAAAAACAATAATTATAGTAATGATAGCACTTGCCTCTGCAAGCTTGCATTATGAAAATTTTTGGTTTCCCTTCCAATGTGTCACATTTGTTGAACATTTCGATCATTGTATTTGTGAAATATGGTTTGCTGTCTGCACAGTAGAAAGCATGCTCTTTGACTTTTCCTCTTTCCTCGTTCGTTTCCTCGTTTCCATGAGAACTTACTACAATCATAAATCGCTCGCATGCGGTATGGTCAGCTTCACTTGCTATCTTTAGCCATTCACTAGTCTCGTCTTTAGTGAGATTCATGTAGCTATCTTTGTTTAAAATTTGAAATCCTAAATGTTCGCCGATTTCTTTGATATTTTGGAAATCTTTTTGAGCACCTTCTCGTTCTCCGTGTATTCCACAAGTTTCGTTGACGATTACAAGCATATATCCTTTTTCCTTTCCTTGTAGAGAAGGGATTGATCTGGACTGGATTGTTCTGGTATTTGTCAAAACTTTTCCAGGCCTTTTATCCTGGACTTCGTCAGGGAAAGCGTCTGTCACATCATTTTTGCACACTACACTTTCATGACTTTCCATCCTTACGCTTTAACGTATGTCCGACTTGTGATAAAGGTTTCAAAAACCGTGTACAGATACATACAGTCACTTCATACATGCATATATATATTTTGTAAAAATGATAGAGCAACACCTAGATCTAATTTCATGACGTTTTCATGGAAGCCTGTCTGGGAAGCAGTACGACGAAAACAATGTACAATAAATAATAATATACTTCCTTGCATTTGTATTGTAGTTTCACGATGTTGTATCAACTTTGTTATCTTGTGTCATTTTACTAACTTTTGCATACCTTTACTTCACACATAAGCCTGTCTATGTGCATATTATTAACTGAAAAATCGACAATGAATAATGTAGAAAAAATAGCCTTTTTTTCAGAAATATTTCAATCAATTAATGTGATTTAGTAATAACAGTTACCCGTGAAATTTATAGAAACACATTTAAATCGATTAGTACTATAGATAAACTAAATATAGCACAAGTAAATCAATCAATTAATTAGTTTTGCATCTTTGTCTATGTTAAAAATCTTCCGAAATGTATTAGCAAAATCTAAAACACTCTCGAATCTGTTCCTGGCACCACCCAGTTCTAAACAATGAGTGTAAAGATTCTTGCTCACGGAAACAACGGCTTGCCCCTGGCGAGGTTTGAACCCACGCGGGTAACTACTCCGACGCGTTAACCATGCACTCGGCCACGACACCAAAGTGTTCTTTTTATTATTACTTATTTAATTAAAAATACAATCTTCAACCGAATAAGCAAGATAATGTTTATGTCGAGACGTTTTGTCGTTGTGACGTATTGGCAAGGTGCTGCGGGGTGGTGGGTTGCTATTTTAAAACGACACTACAGAGCTCAGCCATTATAACTTTCGACTTATATAAAAGTATTTATTTCATTTACAAATATCATATTACAGACAAGATTTTTAATAAATTGTTTATATATCTGCATTTCAATACATTCACTGTTCCAGAACCTCAATCAATAACTACATTGGTATGTTGGTGGTGTTTTTTTCCAGTAGTATTTTCGCGATCGGTGTCTTTTTAATTGCAGACATTAATTTTTATAGATATATAACAGTCATATAAACAATGGCGCTTTAAATAAGTTATTCTTAATTAACAAAACACATAACTGGATATGGATTATGGTACTTTTTGTTGTTGTTGGTTTGCAAAATCAAACGTATGTATCTGAAATATTAACGACGCATAACTCTGTTTGAGAAATGTTAACAGGTAATGAACTCCATCAAACGCCACACAGCTGAACTAAGAAAGGAAAGATTGTCGAAAAAGCGTGCGGGAATTCCTGAAAGAAATCATTTCCATCTAAACGCCCGCTTGAATACAACAGCGTCAAATCTGACGTCGGTATTTTCAGATATGGATAGTGTTATAAATATGGCAAAAATGCGAGGTGCGGGCAGCAGTATGGGCCTTCAAAAAGGTGGGTGGAGAGTGACATCAAAAGCTCCACAAAAACCGTATCAACCAATTTTGAGGGATGTGTACCCCAGAAATGAATACACAATGATGCCGGAATATAATGCTCCGAAGTATTACACGGGTCATTTCATGAAATATGATTACAAAGATGCTCCGAAACAGCCTAGTGGAGAGTATAACGACGGCAGGCCAGTAGTTTTTAAAAAGCAAGATATCGAAAATGTTCAGACTAAGAAAAAATATGGCGGTAATCCTAAAGGACAGAGTTCCGTCCCTTTACATTTATGTAATGACACTAGCTCACTATTATATAGGCGGAGTTTACAACCATCAACACTTGACAAGATTTATCTACCGTCGACAGGTTCCCCAACCCGTGCATCATCTACACTGACTTACCCATACGCTCTTCATAAGCACGTGAAAAACGAGCAAAGCGCTTTACATCCGCTTGTACAAAGAGATCCAATACAAACATGGCTTGATACGAAATACCCATCAGGGGAGAGAAATAATCGATATCTGAGTACAGCCGGAAGTTCGAGCACCGAGCATGGACACAAGAATCGTCTTGATGTTGGCCTTAGGTCAGGGAGGGCGCGAAGTGAACCTGAATGGTTTTCAGAATTCTTTCCACGTCAAAAGGTAGCTGATACTATGAAATTTATGGGATCAGCTAAACAGTCCACCCAGTCTAAAAACAGTAAGGAGTATGACGTTAATTTTAAAGGATAAAATTATTCTTGTGATTTAATGTGTTTTGAATTATAAAAAAAAAGAAAAAAAAAAGAAAAAGACATCAAACTCATGTATCGTAAACGCATATTTATTATTGTCATTGAATCTTATAACTGCTAATGTTTTAATGTTTGTGGTAAAGAGAACATACTAGTACTATATATTTTAAAGGATTATTTCTTCGCGATTGTACTGAATAATTGCAATTTCTTTTCCAATAATTATTTTGAGTTTTAGATATGAAAAAAATGACAAAAAGGTAAGTTTTGTCTATTTTTCTGTTGAAAAAAAAAATGTTGAAAATAATGAAATTTATTACATCACTTCTCAAACCGTTATTCAAAATACCAAAAGTGTTTAGAGGTAATCCGTTTAAATTTGAATATAGTTTCCGAAAATCTATTCCACATTATTTGAACATAATGACATTCCTATTTGTTATGAAACTGAAGAAAATGTTGCAAAACTTATAATTAAGTTTATCCTATATCGAAGACCCTGAAAATTTGACTCTTAAGGCTTTTCTGTATTAAAAAAATGTAACGTAAGGGAAGTAACAATGACCGAAAATTGTCAATATGTATAACCGAGTTATCCTGATGTTACGGTTAATCAATAAAGAAAATACGACCGCTACGTATTAATTAAAATACTTACACATATCTTAAAAATGTTCTGCACATTAGAATTCATTCATATGTACTTTTTTTGCGAAACACTTCAAAAGGCATAATTATGCTATAGTTCTTGTAGGATTTGTGGTGAATATAGACACGACATGAATCGGCTGGATATATTAACATAAGATATCTGTAAACAATGGTCTAGTCTTAATTGTTCTACTGTTAAGTCTATTTTACCCAGTCAAATACAATTAAGAAAAAAATAAATTGATTAACATAAATAACATATCGTAAGTAAACACGCGAGAAACAAAGGCTTAATATATGAAAATGTAATGATAGAATGTTAATTACTCCTTGTAAGCAGGTAATAATTTTAAAAGTATATAATAATGGCTCAGAAATCCATATTTTTTATTCTGTAGAAATGTCAAACTTGTGTTTATAGATGATGTTTTACAACGGAAAAAGTAGCGCTGAACATGCATTTATTTGTCGTAAAAGCTGCAAAGGTTACTCTTTGACGTCCATACAAAATACTTATTCACTATAATTATACAAATTGTCAACAGAACTAAAGATGCAAACGATAATTCATGTTTATAGCAAATTTTGTGTTTTTTTTTTTTGTAAACTGTAACAAGATTCCAAAAATAAACAGTTCAGACACAAAAAATGATAAGGCATAATGGGCCTTTAAATGAAAGACAATAATCTATAAATTTACATTAGATTTTTGTTAAATTACATGTAAAGTCTTTTTAATTGTTTATAAACTACATCACTTAAGAAAACGAGACTTCGCTCTTAAATGGTTGGAATATTATTGATTAGAAAGTGTAAAAATCCCCAAAGCCACTCAGAATGCACTCTCTTCCTCCAACTCCCCACTTAGGGAGGAGAGGAACGTTCATCAATGACACTCGCCAAGTTACCATGAAGGTAACAGCTCGTGCCCGCTTCGCGCTCAGAAGAGAGTGCTATTTCTCGTCCTCGTGGTTTTGGGTCTCGTCAGTTTAACCTGACGTCCTGGCGACACTTACTATAGAAATGATCCCTAAGAGTAAGGTCTTAATCTTAATTACTAACCTATACGATTATATAGCAAAGGGATTACTGATTAACACTGGTTCAATAATTTGTAAATTGAGAAATGAAGATTTGAACGTGTTTTTTAATTGTACAATTCCTATAAAATTATTTTAAATGATATTTTCTTTTTAACGCATTAGACTTCAACTATTTTCTGTAATAGAAAAAGGTTTAAAAATCGTTAAACGCTTTTTATCTTCGATTTTTTGTCAAATAGTAAACTTTTAAATTTATGTGGTAAACTGAGAAAGGAAAGTAACTACCAAAATTCAAGTTTTACAGTGTTTGCAAGTTTTATCTCCCATCTTTGTATTAGTGTACTATGTGACTAGCGTGTTCGTGAATGTTAGATGTAATATTTAATGTTTATATACAGAAACACACCTACTGTTAGATATTTTAAGTCTGTATTTAGTATTATATTAAAATCAAATAACACACAAGTTCTTTAAAAAAAATGTAACATATATTATATATTATATTATATTTTAACGCACTTATATTATACATGTATATAACTTTCTAAACAAAACCAAACTATACCATCAAAGCTGTACTTTTACATTACTAAGAAACATATATGATTACTCAAAGTTTGACGGTCAAATATCAAATTTATAAAAATCCGAAATAATAATACAATTGTTTCATTGAGTCAAGTTCTTACTGGATACCGGAGATGGACAATAGCGGAGATTGATGGAAACAAGAAATGGTCACACGTTTTTATAAGCAACGCGGGAACATAGCTTTCAAAGGGTCGGCACATTTAAATTTCAAGAATGTTTTTAATGTATGTAAAGAATTTTAAATGGTTTTTTACAAATCTACACGGATTGATACAGCTAAATCTCCTATTAATAGGTGTTAAATTACAGAAAACCGCTGTGTGTGTACAGGTAAACTACGTATAATCCTTCGGAACTGCCTCGGCTATTATCTATAATAACCTCGGAAACAATACGGATTGAAAGTAGTTCTACCACGTGGTTTCAGATGTAAACAGAAACAGAGATAATGTAAAACGAATGTATATATTTGACATCTAATGTCTGTTCCGGTACTCTTATGCTTGAAAATATGTCTGACAACAATTTGTAATTTAAATATGCCCACTGATGTTCAATTTTAAACAAATCCGACTAAATGTCAACAGGTTGGTTTTTTGTACTTTCGGTTTCTACAACCATAATAATAAATATATAAATAATGTATTGTTTGCTTTTGTACCTATGAATTCACTTATTTTAGGTGGACTTTTACTACATATATTGGAAATAAACTTGTCAACAACTCCCAGCATTAAATTACTATTTGTTTACATGTTTAGTTTCTTAGCGTAGGTTAGACCGAAATACCGCATCCGTTCTGTGTATTCATACTATTGTGTTCGAGGTCCTTATCCGAAGACTGACGGAAAGGGCCGAGTAGTTGCGACTGTACGTTTAATTTCCGTTGCAGTCTCGTCAATTGTACATCATGATAAAAAAATCCGAATAATCATATAGATTCATTTGCAAACATATTCTCCAGTTTCTATCTATTTCTCTCTTCCATTTTTGTTGTCAGTGTTATTTCAAGCTTAAAATGTTTAAACTGTCACATTTACTCAGATTTTCAAAGTTGCGGTCAGTGGACTGTCAAATAATTTATCTGATCTATTGAGGCAGCACCAGATTCAGTTGAATTTATTTCTTGTTATTATGTCTAAAATTAAGTTTGACGGACAACTTTTTAAATTATAATATAATGGACATATACCTTATTTTTTCACCACAGATTTAATAATTATATCTGCTACATTAATGTCAAGATTACAATTTTGTTGACAGTAGAACTGCATTTGTACTTTCAATCCCTCTCGTTTCCCAGATGATCACTGGTTACTGGCAAGGTGTTTCGAATGCTGGTAGGTTTGAACACAAAATCGGTTAAGTCAGTAACGAATTGAAATGGCAGTTGTTTTGGATGGTGTTTTAAGATACATAGATCAATAAGAAGGTTTGAATGTTTATTCCCAGAAAAGCACATAGAAAAAGAGGGCTCGGGTATTTAAAAACTGTAAAAAAAACTTACATTGTTAATTGTGGAAATACATTGTACCAAAAATTAACATGATATAAAAAGTATGGTTAAAACAGTTTGTCCAAAATATATACCAATACAAAATTTCTGTAATTTCCAACGATATTTAACACACATTACTGTACTGTAGAGTATTTGTAAATATTGTTGTCGTATTGTTGCTTTCCGTAATATTTACCGATTTGTCTGAAAGGTATCAATATTTACAGTCATCCTATTAGAGGTTGTATTCTGAAATTATAAATACAATAATGGATAAGGTAGACACATACAGAAAATGAATATATAAGTCATTTAAAACTGAATGAAGTAGCTCTAAAGAAAAACTTTACAATAAATAGGAATATTGTAAACATCTTTATTATGTTTCTCGGTTTGGGCGTTGCAAAGATCATTCTTATCATTTAATTGGGATTCTGGTAAACTTTTTCTAATAGGATTGTTGGGTCAATCCTTTTGCCAAATATGTTATACCATTGTATTGTAACTATTGTTTCTTTCTTTTTTTTTTGGCAATAAAGTATTTTTAAATCAATTGGATTGTTACATATTAGCAGTCACTGGTCAACCCTTGTGTCATTTAGTTTTAGTTTGTTGTCCTTTAAGATGCTTAGCCGGTGGTCATTAATCACCTATTATAAGACCTACACGAAACCAATTTCACATGTATCCTTTACTATATCTGATACTTTACTTTTGTTTTCTTTTCTTATGTTGAAAAAAGCCTTGGCAATATAAAATGTAAAATTTCACAAAGAAAATGAACAAAGAATGTGAAACCTTACTTGTCTTTTTTCTTTACGGCTAATTATAATTTCGATTACGCGGTAATGTTTGGATCAGTGAACTTTGTCTTTTCTTTCATATGTTAAACAAGGGCAAAACATTATATCGTTTAATTAATTCAGTAAAATTCTAACGTCGCACGGACTCGCAGTGGAAGAGAAACTGAATGATCAATATAAAAATACTTACTTGAACATGTCTTCGCATCATTATTTAACATTCCATTTGAACATTTACAAAACGGTTCTCCATTTATGTCTGTGTAACAGATATCCTGGCAACCATTATTATGCCCAAAGCATTTGTTCATCCTGCAATTCTCACTGTCGTCTGCAACCGCAATGATCCCCATTGGCGAATATCTAACATTGTGACGAATGACTGTTATATCGCTGCCGTCATACTTATTTGCTCGCATGACCGCTCTTTTCTGCCAGTCTGTCCAGAACAGATATGTGTCGTACACAGCCAAGCTAAAGGGATGTGACGATTCTAACCGCAAGATTACCTGGAATATTTTATTCTGACCGGCATGACTTTGTTAATGTATCATAAAAGAATAATATAATGAATATTACAGTCGTATTTTACATTCGACAATGTCCAAAGAATCGCTTGCAATTTATATACGTTGTTCAAAGATAAAAGGCAAAAGGCAGAATTGAACATACAACATACCCCGTTTCTTCAATACAGGCATATAACGTTTCAGAAATATTTGATTTTGTTTTTAAACACGATACCATTGTAATGATGGCCATAAGTTTTTTGTTTGGTTTTACGTTGCACCAACACAATAGCGGTCATATGACAAGTCTTCGAGCATTATTTGAAGAGGAATACCTCAGGTACCCCTTCTTGTATTACTAGTATTTTAGACACATAATTATGGACAACTGAGTTGAACCACCGATGTTCCGAATAGCTCCCTCACATGCAAGAATCAAAAGTCACTGTCGGGATTCGAACCTTCAACGGTACGGGGCAAATGGTTTGAGGTATCTAAATATAAACTAAAGAGTACACTATAATAACGATTCCACTACCAGAGATATGTTTATATACGAATGAAAACTATTTAAGGTATTAGCTCTATTCCAAAGGTATTTTCAAAGTGCAAATTCGTGCTTGAAAAATTGCACGGAGCAGCGCATGAAGTCTGTAAAGTCGCCATATGAATCGCACAAGTGACTAGAAATACAGAATAAGAACACTGTTTCATTCACATATAAATGTACAAATGTTTGTTAAGTAAATTAAAAAACGCACAACTCTGTTTAAACCATCCATGTCACATCTCTCAATAGTGTCCGTCCCTGCGTCCGTCCAGTATAGATTCTTCGATAAATGATCAATAACAATGCCATTCGGGTACTTAATGTCCGTGGTGACAATATCTTGAACATCTCTTCCCGTGATATCTGAACGCTGAATGCTGGCGTTGTCCTCTCTCCAGTTTGTCCAGTAAATCATCCTCGAATCAAAAGTCAAGACAGTATGTTTAATATGTCTTGGATAATTAAATCAAATAAAGAAATTATACTCCTCATTCATCAGGATATTCATCTGATTATACGGTGTTGAAGCTTTGGAGATTCACCAAAATGTCTGAATGTAAGTAGGGTGAACCAATGGACGGAAAATACCGGAGAACCACGAAATATTCCCTATTTTGCACCAGAAGCTTTTAGAAAATTATAATGAAATATGTATTTTTAAATCTTTGAAATTATAATTAATATTTATGTATTTAGAACGAAAAGGATGAAAAGATTGCTTAAATTTCTTGGTACATGTGTGTATATACAACTCCATTTTTAAATTCTTTATGGAATGTGACCTTAATACAAAATTATGACTACATCTACAAAATTTTAATTTCGCACTGAATTTTCTTTATTCAGCTTTATATCATATTTGACTATTTAAAGAATAGCTCTTACTTCAAGCAAGTATCCACTACTATTCCTCTGGGTCTATCTTCTTTTTCAAGTTGCACGATAATCTCGGGCTCATATGATTTCTTTCTCAACGCGTCATTAACGTTGACCTTGCCGATACACGTGTTTGTATAGCTCGTGAAGTAGATGTCACCATTTGTTCTCTCAAATGATAAGTCTTCAATTAACGCTAAACCTATAAAAATCATAACTGTTTATCAGAAATTTGACAAAAAGCAATATAAAATAAGTACTGAAATAAACTTGATAATCATTAAAGCAGCACGCTAACTTTCAGGAAAATTTTGAAATTTGAATGTATAATATTGTAAAATAACCAAAAGGAAGCAATTTACACATTATCAATGGCACTTAAAACACACGTAAATTACCAAAAATATGGTCATAATATGCATAAGTGCCCTTATTGCGTTAGTAACGCTGTAAATACTGAGAATCCAGTCATTACCCGCACATAACATGTAAAATATAATTTGAATCTTGAATCATTACACTTTTCTTAAAATCGTAGTACATATTTCTCAAGACTGCTTTTATTGAAATATTTTGACTTTTCTGGAGGCATGCAGCTTTAGATAACTAACGACAGCTAACGAAACTTTAGAAAATGCTGATATATAATATATGTAAAAATATAGATAAATAGAACCCTAAAGAACGACAAAACGGCAAAATTGAAAATGCCGCAGGCTCTGTTTGATTTAGCTTGTTCATGGACAGTACTGAAAAGTGCAAGCTACTGTCCATGTCCCCTAGTACCGCCTTGAACAGTATTCAACATTTAAACATGTAATGATGAAATTTTAAATTTAGAAACATCGGCAGATGTATACATACGGCGGTGATCATGGAAGATTACTATTTTTATTATTTATCTAAATGGTACCAAAGTTATTCAAAATAACACATAAGGCGAATGTATTTCTGCTGTTTCAGGACTTCGGTCACAGTCATTGCAAAGCAAACAAAGCCATAATTAGACTTAAACATAGGTTATTACACTACTAATACATCAAGTAATAATAAATCAAGTACCACAGTATAAGTTCGTTCTAAATGTAGCTTGCAGCTAATTTATGCCGTGCACTTATTATTTCGTATGGTGGAACGACAGGCAAAAGGTTGGGAAAAGAAAACATTGGCCATTGTCCATCAGTCATTGACCTCAGATCGCGAAAAGATTTCCAGATATTAGTTATTCTAAGCTTTTTACGAAAAAAAAAATACCTTCGGCAATTTTGAAGATTTTTGTACCATCAAAAGACACTGCCATAACTGTGTTCGAGTCTGGTTCTATATTCGAATAGAATATGCGTTGATTCCTGTAGTCGAACGTAAGTCCAACGATCCTTCGCATGTAGGTGTCATTTTTTATTGTAAACAGAACAGGGTCTTCATCACTCGCAGCAAACATATCTATACCTTCCAGATGAGAGGAGGTGCTGAACAAGAGGAATTCTGTAATATATCTTGACTGTGTGATTTATCAGACATTTTATAAAAATCCTTATACATTTTAAAGCTATGCTGGACGATTTGCGTAAATTTTGAAAGTGCTTTCCTGGAGGATCTGTTTAATTAGGTTCCAATTAGAATTATTTAGTAAGAGAAAGAGCATCGAAACACGAACGAGGCTATCTGATTTGTACAAGGGGGGCGTAGCCCCCGATTATTAATCAGATTGCCAAGTGTTTTGACGTTCTTTCTCTTTTGTATCATAGTAACATAAAACACTTCCTTTTCAGAATTAACCGGAGAATACAATAACGAGATTAAATATATATTTCTGTCGCTTTCCTTCTGCCGTCACATAGTACCAAAGAGCATATGGCATGCTCTGTGGTAATAACTGCATCGTTAAGCACGTGCATGTTATTACTAACCGCTATTTTCACAAGCCAAATCTGAACAAGAAAGAACAAACTGCATCGATAAACGGTTCGCCTTCTAACAATCAGATTAGCTTCATGTTTCAGATCTCTTTCTATTACTTATTCATAAATCATATGATATAATATCTAGTCTGTATCCTGGCCCAAAGCATGTTAAAGCATTTAGCATTTCGCCAAATCTGGAATTAATTATTGCAAAGGATCAAACCCCAACCTTTTAAGATTTATATATAACATAACTAATTGATGACCTGGCATTACTTGTTCTTCAATCGTTCGAACTAGATTTTTTTTTTGCAAAATGCACAATAAGCAGTGATTTGGCAAAGGAAACTTCTTTTGGTATTTGTAATTTTCTGTTAAGTGGCAGTAATAATAGTAATTCGTACTAGGTGCTGATTGTGCCGGTGTCTTGAACTCATCTGACGGGACGCTTTGAGGGCTCGCTCCGTATGTATTAAACGCAATAACGCGCAGCCTATATTTGGTTTCCGGTTTCAAATTCCTCAAGTTCAGATCTACCCAGGTGTCTGTACCAATTTTCTTGACAGTTGTCCATTGACAGGAATCTGTTGAATACAAAAATATACATGCTATAAGTACGAATATGAATATGAATAGTGCTACAAATGTATTAATTTCAGTAATAAATTACTTTACTATAGATACTAACAAAATTGTCAAATTATGCTTCAAGCGTAGAGTCAGGCCTTCATGCATATCTTTGCAAGGTGATCAGATATTTAAAGCTGTATCTAAGCCAAAACATTTCAAGAAAACCAAACTGGAGACAAATATGCTAATACTTAAAGATTCGAATAATAAGTAACATGTTATTTGCGAATAATGACTGATTTTGCTGTATTTATCACCATATTTCTACTGCACCACTAACCCATTTTGGGCTATCTTTTCATTTTTTTTCGTAATTTACATGGATTGTAAGTGCCGATGGCAATGTGTAAATTACTTTCTTTGTTCACTTCTCAATATTTTAGTTTTAAATGACTTTTCAAAATGTTCATGAAAGTTAGTATGAACCTGGAGGCATGTTGCTTTGACTGTTTTGAAATATTTAGTTTATTTTTTTATTGCTCATTATAGACTTATCCAACTTCCAAGTACACCATGTCCCTTTTGGACGCGAATTCCTATTTAAGATATTCGGTCAGATACAAGTACATGTATTAAAACATCGCACTAACACGCTTCCTGTGCTTGAATTTCATGTCTAGTTATTGACAGTTGACCTTTAGAACCAGATCTCCATTCCAGAATAGTCTACGTCTTTTTTCATCCATGTTGAACGTCAAATGATGCGGGGCTTCAGGCGACCCTTGAACAAATGATAATTAAATGATTCCAAAAAAATGGTCAGTTAGTCAGAACAAGACAATCAACTTAAAGGAACTCCAAAGAGGTTTAAAAGTCTAAAATATAAAATATGAATTTCTTACATAGATCAGCTGGGACACTTAAAACAGAACGATATGCTAAAATTAATTTAAAAACATACTCAGAAATAAACTGATAATCGTATTTTTGCGCTATTCTAAGCCCAGATTAAGTAAAAAGCGTTGCAACGCTTTTCATTTTTTTTTTATCTATTTCACACTTAGAATGATTATTTTGAAAGAACGGAGAGAGAGAATGATCTGAAATTTTGCACACAAGTTATTGCTCGAAACCTTTATCAAATGGAACATAAATCTCAAAACATTATTTTCATTCCCGTCATGTAAAAACCTCAGTTGAGTCCCTTTAACGATAAAAAGTCAACAATAGCCTTTTTATATTTAAATTTTGAGAACTTTATATTAGAACATATATGTAATATATAAACCAAATAACTACATATGAATAGCAGTTTTTATAGTCACAAAAAGTATGGCATCAAGTAAGGTCAATAAAAAAGAGTAACTGGAAATGCGCAAGGAAAATATTGCTCCGGCATTGTATAAAATTTACCTGGTTGTGGCCCTAGGATTAAAGTCTTCACTATCCCCTGTCCCTGGCCAATGGAATTTGTTGCTGATACACTAAATACGAAGGTGGCATTCTCACGTAAATTTTTGATATTTTTCATATATGAGTCACCTGGTACTTCTAGGTTTGTCACGTGACTTTCACCTTTCAAGTACGAATATTCGTTATTATAATATAATCATATCATTTTATACCATTTATTTTATTGTTATAATAAGAAATACAATTCATTGTGTTTCGCGAATCTAACCAAAACATTGTACTTTTTATTCGCTTATTTAGAAATGCTGAACAGGAAAACATTTTATTTGTCTACATTTTGTTTGTTTGCCCGCATGAACAACTGGTTCAAAATACTTCAGCAAAGGTCAAGAAGATTGGTAGTTTTGTGAAACATTAAAAACTATTTGGAAATAATCATCATCATCATTTTAATCATTCATCATCATCATCATCATCATCATCATCATCATCATCATCATCATCATCATCATCATCATCATCATCATCATCATCATCATCATCATCATCATCATCACAATCATCATCATCATCATCATCATCATCATCATCATCATCATCATCATCATCATCATCATCACAATCATCATCATCATCATCATCATCATCATCATCATCATCATCATCATCATCATCATCATCATCATCATCATCATCATCATCATCATCATCATCATCATCATCATCATCATCATCATCATCATCATCATCATCACAATCATCATCATCATCATCATCATCATCATCATCATCACAATCATCATCCTCATCATCATCATCATTATCATCATCATCACCACCACAATCATCACACTCCTCCTCATCATCATTATCATCAGCAGCAGCAGCAGCAGCACTACTCCTGACTTTATCATCAGTACGTACGTGCAGAATTTTGTTCTTGATAGGTCAGTTTGTATTTGATGATTATGCCGTTAGGTTGTAAAGTAGGCTCCCACTGCATGTCCAGTGATGTATATGTCACATTCCGAAATGTTAGTGAAACAGGTTTTCCTGGTACTGAAATTTTAATCATAAAGGTTATATGTCCATGATATTGTTTTAAATGACTTGGGTTGAATAAGTTTAGAGAGAGCTGTAGAGGAATATTAAGCCTATGAAGGCTCTGTAGTATAAAGATATTTGATAGGTTATATGGCCTGATCGATAATCTGTATATAGTAAATGACCGTGCTTATTTCAGCACACAACGCGTATAAGTTATGAATAAATGTAGAGGAATGGGCAATAACTTAAGCAATTATAAGATAACACTACAAAATTGTATCATCCCTTACGTGCCTTGCATTGTTTAGTATATACAATTTTATTTTAGTTCGATTGTGTCTGAAGGTATAAGCTTATTGAAACTCTCTCGAATCCGTTCCTGAAATTAACCAGTACTAAGCACTAAGCAATGAGTATAAAGATTCTTGATCATGGAAAACAACGGTTAGCAATCTGACGATTTTGACGTCAGCCGACGCGCCCATTAGAACGAATCCAATGGGGGACGAATTCTGACCTTAAGTCGTCATGATAACGACTCGATCGGTATATCTTTTTAATTATATCTAATGGAACTGAAAAACGTCTCTGTTAGCTTACGGAATTAATAAAGCAAAATCAATGCTACAGTGGAGTGCGTGTATATAGAGCAATAATGGTATAAATCTGTAGTCAAACCATGTGTTTAAATGTAACGTATATACCTTCTTCTTCAAGAGACAATTCTTGTTCTAATAACAAAACTATTTCACTTACCGTCCTCTAAAGTTGTCTCAAATATGACATCGCTATTTGGTCCCTCGCCTGCACGGTTTATTGCTTGAATCCTTATAGAATACTCAGTGTAAATGTCAAGGTTAACAATGTCTACAGTAAGGTCCTCTGTGGTAACCTGATTGGCCGAACTTTCAGGGTCATATCTTCTCCAATACGAAATCTGCAATGAAGAATAGATATAAAAATGAATTCATGATATTTTCTCTGCCCTTTTGTTGTCAAAATGATAATTTAATATGATAGCCACAGAGATAAAAAAAACTGTAATAAAAACGTGCAGAAATTCATACAGACATATGATGTTTTGAAAAAAATTACAGATTTATACCCGATACTCCGAGAGATCTCCGTTCTGTGATTCCTGTGATGGCGGCAGCCATGTCACATGTATGTCTGTTGGCGACACAGCTGTGGTTTCAATATTCACCGGAGCAGCCGATGGTGCTATAATTGTATGGGAATAAATGTGTTAAGTAATCTAAATTACTATTGAAAGTTTAAGATAAATACTTACGTTAAATAAAAACTTGATTATATGTCATTGCATTGTGTCAAAGGCAGTTTCCGATAGCACTTTTATAACATTATGAGAGTTTTAAATTGTAATATTTTCATAATTAATTATCTTTGGTTTCCTTTCGTTAAAGCAATTTTCCATTGCATAAGCATGGAGATTATTTGAAACTCTTTTGAAGAAAATTGTGTTAATACAATATGATGAAAAAAGGTCTGATGTTATAAAGAAATTCTTCAAGCTCAACTAAGAACTCAGGTATTTGATTAGTCAAAACTGCAACTGAATGTTCATTTACAAATAAAAATCCTGAAATCTTAGGATTTGAAATAGAAGTCAGAAAAAAATCTTATAATCTGAGGGCAAGCTTGTGATGCGAGTGGGTAATTGAAAACACAACCTATATGAGCCGCGTCACGACAAAACCAACATAGTGCGTTTGCGACCAGCATGGATCCAGACCAGCCTGCGCATCTGCGCAGTCTGATCAGGATCCATGCTGTTCGCTTACCAACTCTATAACAAGTAGAGAAACCGATAGCGAACAGTATGGATACTGATCAGACTGCGCGGATGCGCAGGCTGGTCTGGATCCATGCTGGTCGCAAACGCACTATGTTGGTTTTGTCGTGACATAGCCCATATGCTTTTAAAGAATAATAAACATTTAAAGATTTTACAGTCAAATATAATCTTTATATATATAATCTGACATAAAATCAACACAAGTTACACATACCTGCTTCTCCAACAAAAACAGTAATTATTTCACTAGCAGGTCCAGATTCGATTGCGTTAAATGCCTTTACTTTGAACACATAGTAAACAAATTTTGTAAGATTGTGTATATTTTCCTCATGGTTGTCTTTAGAAACTCTTAGTTCGACATAATCGTTGTCTTCTAGTGCTTTATACATCAACACATACCCAAGCAATTCTCCATTCAAGGTTCTAGACCTGGGTTGCTAAATTAAAGTACTAGTTTTAGATTACAAAAATTGATATACTTTTCTTAATCTTGAAATTGAAAACTTGTGTGAAGAAAAAAGTGCTAAAATGACACTTGTTCGTTTTGAAAGAGAAAAGCTATCGAATACTGAAGAGAAAATGTTTTCAGTGGCTTAATCTTAAAATGAGTTTTACGAAAAGAAGAAAAAGATAAATACAAGTTATAATTTTAAAATAATTAAATACTTTAAGGGAAATATCACAAAGCATTTATTAAATGTGTCAGTCGGCTAGTTTTATAATAAAAAGGACAACTTGCTAGAAGTTCACTTGTAGAAAACAGAATTTACCTCCCAACTGACTTTCACCGATGTGCTCGTGAGCCGTTCCACAGAAACATATTGTGGAGCTCCCTCTGGATCTATAAATAGTAACAACAAATTTTCATAAAGATAAGTTCTTTCTTTTATTTTTCGTTTCTGTTTTTTTTGCCTGTTTGGTGAGAATTTAAGATTTACTGTTAAAATAACTTTTGTCTTTATATAAAATCAGAAATTTAACCAAATTTATTGTGAATACATATTCAATAAAAATAATAATAATAATAAAGAAATAACAATAAATGAAATGTATTACGACGACGACGACAACAATAACAACAACAACAACAAATGAGGAGAAGAGAAGAAAAAAAAAAATAACATCAAATTTATAATACATCTTCGTTAAAAATAACAAAGAAGCCAACCAACGACACATGACAGATAATGGTGATAAAAGCTGAACTTTTCTAATTAAAAAACATGAAAACCAACACAACTTACAATCTTCTTGTGTAAACACAAACATAGATTCTTCACTAAATGGACTGGTTCCAATGTCATTAGATGCAGCAATTCTGAACGCATACATTGTATCGGGACGCAGTCTGAAAGTCATAATAAATCATTCACATTTTTGACACAAAATCGCTATAAATAATTCCATAAAATAGTAAATTAAAGATTTTTAAAAAAAAAACGGAGTGATGATATATAGAGAATATTACGCTTGTGTCTGATATTACAAAATTTATCAAACAAGGCTAAGAAAAAAAGAACGGTGAGGCTAAACCGAACCCTTCATTTTTTTCGTGCCGAGCCTGAAAATTTTTATAATATCAGACACTTGCTTGGTTATTTTATTTATCAGGTGTAGCGCCGGTATATGTCCAAACGTCGAAAAATGTCCAAACGACGATAAATGTCCAAAAATTGACGATAAATGTCTCAATCGCCGATAAATGTCCAAAACTCCTTTAACGATAAATATCCAAAAATTAACGAAAAATGTCGCAACAAATTAGGTGCTCATAAATGTCCAAATCGGTTAACGATAAATGTCTCAACTTTTCATGTAAATTGCACTTATTTCTATGATCAACAGTAATGCATCAGCCAATTATAAAGGTTTCCATAGATATTAAAAGTACCGATTTAAGTAGCGTTCTCACCAGCATCCCGGCAAAGCCCAGGACCACCCCAGACGATCCGGGATGAAAATATTGTTGCAGTCTTAATAACCCCGGTAGCACTACGGCGATACCCAATTTCCATACTTATAACAACCAGGATAAACTCCGGGCCATCCATGTAGAGTCCAGTTGAAACTACGGATAATGCAGATAGTAAGTGGACGACGGATGACCTAACACGATATTCAAACGCTGTAAAGTCTTCGATCAAAGAGATCATAAAAGCTTAGATCCATGCTAGCACAGCCCCGGATGATGTCGGCAGAGTCCCGTATGATCCCGGCAGAGCCCGGTACGGTCAGATAGAGTGCCGACAATCACCGGTAGAGCCCCGGCAGAGCCCTTGATCATCCCGGACGTTGCCGACAGAGTTACGGACGTACCCCGGTCGTTCCTGGATCACCCGACCGACCACCGGGACTCTAGCGGGATGCTTGTGAGATTGTTAAAAAAGTTTAAAAAATGTATTTGAAAATAAGTTGATTGTTGGATACAGTCTATCTCCCTTACTATTAAAAGGGGGAAAAATAAGTTAAACCGAGGTGCATTGTACTGGTACTTTACACCGGGCACTTAAAAGAACCAGGGTCGCCTCTGGAACGGGGCGTCTTCTGTACCATGCACTATCCCCCGAAAAATAATATACTAACAATCTTCAGGACGTTGGTCATATGGGCAACCGGTACCAACGATAAAAAAAGTCAAATAAAATAAGTTATTATGCCCCCCTTCGAAGAAGTGGGGGTATATTGCTTTGCCCATGTCGGTCGGTCGGTCGGTCGGTCCGTAGACCATGCCATTTCCGCTCAATAACTAGACAATGCTTTGGCTGATTGTCCTCATATTTGGTATGACTAGTATAGATGACTCTATTGATTTTGGGGTCAGTAGGTCAAAGGTAAAGGTCACAGTGACCTCACCATGAAAAGCTTGTTTTTAGAAGATATTTTGTGTGTAACATTGTCTCATTGACAACTACAGGGTTTACTCATTTCATGGACCCATGGGTCATATTGGTTCTGCCCCATGGCAATGATATACATGTATTCCATAACAAATTTACTATGCATTTTTATACACATTTAAAAATCTAATGTTATAATATTAAATTGGCTGTGTTTAGAGGGGCATACATGTTTTACAAACATATCTTGTTAACATCTGCATTGCGCTACTCTACACTTATAGCTATATTCAGTGTCGTCACTCGAACTCAACCTCCACTCAAACTCGAGGAAGGCTTCTTTAAGGACGAATTGAGGACGCCTTGGTCAAGGTGAACTCAAGTGTAGAATTGGTATTCATATTTGAAAGTCTTCCTCGACTTACCCGAGGAAGGTTTGAGTAGCAAATCACCCGTAAAATCACTGTTATAGGTGGTCTGTTCAATAAAATATACAATAATTACATAATTCATTATGTATATCAATTGAATTTCAAGATAAGTATTGATTTGAAAGTATCATAAATATGAATTTGGTACAGACATCATTTGTACATGTACTTTTGAAAATGATTTGCAGAATAAAACGTTTGAGCAAGTGGTCTGTGTACAATAATAATTCATCTATATTTAAATTATATTCTTGCTTCTACCATCAAATTGCTGAAGTCTATCGACAGAATTAATTTATTTTACGTTTTTTTGAAAATGTATTAATGTATTGAGTTATTTTCACGACTAAAGCGCAGTGAACACTAATATAACTTGAAAATGTGAAACATTTTGGACAGAAAAAGAGGTATGCTTATTTCTACCATATTCATTTATTCAGTTGATGCACATAAACTAATAATTTTCTAAACAGTTGATGAATTTGTCTTTACGTACAAAAATGGTTGTTACTATAAGATTGGTACTTTTGAATATTCATAGAATTGTGTCTTGAAATCTCTTCTGATGATGCTTCAACGTCAACGACACTGGGATGCACAGGGATACATTTCACCTGATATAATGCAGGATGTGCCGAATGTTGTAAGCGTGAGACGACTTTTGCTGAATTTTGGTCGGTTCAGTGGCCTAATATTAGAAATCCGCAAAATTATAAGAGAATCTAGATGGGCCAATGCTTGATTGCACCTTCGGTTATGTACTGATGCCCTTTGTTGGTACGAGATTGCAGATATATGGTACAAAAGACCGTAAGAAATAGCATCAGTACATTACCGAAGTTGCAACCAAGACATAACCAAGTGTAAACCAGTTAATATATGTGTAAAAACAGTTTGAAGATGAAAATATTCATTGACAAATTGTGATAATTTCAAAATAACGTTTGTCGAATGGAGAAGAAATGTTAAAAGTTTTTGTCAACAGATTAAAATAAATATTACACAGTATTCGAATAGTAACATTATAATTGCTATATGATGGTGTCATTTAAACATTTATATTATTATACCTATATATAATATATCCTTCAATGTAAAACTCCCATGTGGGCTACAATGTGTTCTGATCGAATATCACCCTCCTAGAATATATTCCCCGGGGAATATGTCTTATATCACCTTTGAGCACAAAACTCTTACATAACTCATTCATAAAGCGATAATGCCTTAGTACCCAGTTAGCATAATATTATTTATTTCCTAGTCTGTCTGTCTGTCTGTCTGTCTGTTTCTTGTTTTTATCTATATACAATGTACATTATACTATTTTTGTGTATATCGAACATTTACAGATCAAAATCGCTATAACTGTGAAGTGATGATCTGTATTTTCTTTCAGGCAAAGACTGCTGACCTAAGAGTTTTTTTCCGGTATAATAAAATAAATTACACATGGCTGTCGGGGTGATAGAGGATATTGCCAACCCTTGAACTGGCATATTACCCTCGGCTGCGCCTCGATGTAATATACCAGTTCTCGTGTTGACAATATCCTCTATCACCCCGACAGTCATGTGTTATTTATATATTATTATACCTCAATATATCCTTCAATGTAAAACTCCCATAGGCCTACAATGTGTTCTGATCGAATATCACCCTCCTAGAATATATTCCCCGGGGAATATTTCTTATATCACCCTGGGGTACATAACTCTTACATAACTCTGTATTGATAAAAACGATAATGCTTTAGTAACCAGTTAGCATAATGCAAAATGACAGCCATGTGTTATTTATATAATATTGTTAAGTTAATATTTGACATATAAGTAATTTATAAATGCACATGTTTGTATCCAACCAGCACAGCAAGAAAACATACTATTACGTCAAGTGTCTATTACGGTGGCACAGATGTGACACATGGGTGTCTTTATTTATCTTGTTCACACGAGATATTATCTTGTTCCCACGAGATATTATCTTGTTCCCACGAAATAATTATTTTGTTCCCACAAGATAATATCTTGTTCCCACGAAATAATTATCATGTTCCCACGACATAATTATAGCCAATCAGAAGCTGTAAAATGGTAATATAGCAGTTACTTCCCCTTATTTAGTTGAACATTTACTTGATTATATATACATTATATTCATGTATAACCATGTAGGTTGATCTTGAAAGTGCCACACTGTAGGGACATACAAAACATTAACTACCAATTACTGGTGTTTAATAGTGCATACCCTCATCTGGTGACGCATTTGCGTGCAAACTGATCTGGGTCGACACTGGAGGGATACGTGTAAGTAGCCTTTCAAAACTCTGTATTTATAAGGCCATGGCCCGGCAGTGGCGTTCAGTCCACCACGCGCGAATGAGTAATAATCAAATACAAATGTCTTAAATCAATGTAGCATGAGAAGGACCGTCTTCGCAGCACTTTTAAAAGAGAAAAGTCACAAAACCCATTTAACACGTGTTGCGTATATGCTTATAACGACCATTGTCGAACCATATCCCCCGACAAGCAAATGCGTCATCCTGTCAAGGTCTGCACTGTTCGCTGTTGAATCAGTAGGTCAGATTTTAACTGTCAAAGCAGTTAACCCCTTGATTAGCTCTCATGGTTTAACAGGTTTTTACTGCTTTGTTTGCCAGATAGAGTTGCATATTTTTCTTAACTTTTGACCACTTGACAGTAAAGGAATATGCAACTCTGTCCACGCCCCTATACCGTTCACAAACTTTCGGGACGGACACTTAGACACTCGGACGGACAATGGCAACGTTATATGGGGCACAAAAATATTGAAGAACACAAACAATGCTAAAACGTATTGCTTCGGTGAGTTAAGAAGGCACATGTCCCCCGCGCCCCATCCGGATCTGCAACTGGCCATGCACAATAATGTATGATACATTTTACGTCGGGGGTAAACCAGAGGGTAAAATCACGGGTTAGTTGGATAGACTGTTACAGTATCCAATACAATAAATTTCAAATAACATATGAAAAGTTGAGACATTTATCGTTAACCGATTTGGACATTTATGAGCACCTAATTTGTTGCGACATTTTTCGTTAATTTTTGGACATTTATCGTTAAAGGAGTTTTGGACATTTATCGGCGATTGAGACATTTATCGTCAATTTTTGGACATTTATCGTCGTTTGGACATTTTTCGACGTTTGGACATATATCGGCGCTACATCATGTTTGCAATTTTAATATGTTTAAATTTCAAATGAAACAAAATTCTTCTAAATGTTATTTTTATTATTGCAAAATATTTACTGGTATGTAATAAACCTTAAAATACAATATTGTGAAATCCATTTTGTTATGTAATCTGGAATCACCTACCCTTTCTTTCCTGTTATCAAATAATGAAACACAAACCCTTTTACTTCATATGTTTCTTGAGGGGATAAGATTGGTTCCAAAACATTGTTCCAAATATCGTCATTCAGGCTTTTGTATTGTACCGTGAAGTTCCGGATAGGAGTATAACGGTCAATAGTCGGATACCAGTATATAGTCACTGATCTGGCTTTCGTCGGCGGATTCTGAACATATGGTCGACCTTGCCGCGGAGGCACATCTACAAAACAATGGTTATATATATGGAATTTACAACAGTGAATCATTTTAAAGAATTTGAATAGACCAAGCCTGAAAAAACATTATCTTTTCATTTGGAAATAAAACTTACTATCAACATTATTAGTGGCTGAAATTATAATTGTCCGATGAAATTGGTCCATTTTTGAAATAAATTCTTTGGTACATTTAGTTTATTCAATCTGCAACAACTTGTCTTTTAATACTATCTTTATATAAATAGTCAAAACATATTTTCAACCGCTAAGTAGGTTAGTGTGATTTAAGTCAGCATTAATTCCATTAGATATGTCGTCAGGCTGCACCGGGCCAGACATATTTAGTGTTGCTGACTAACAAACACTAAACCTATACTTTATTACAGCATTTCTATCGCTGTATTCCAGATTGTTCATATTGCTGAACAATATACGTCGTATTTTTTCATCCATCAATTTTTCTTTTGAAATCTTGGAATCTTACAATTCACTTAGCTTATAAAACCACCTGGAAAGTTATAAAAAGTACAAGTCATATTCTCTGCTTAATATTCTTAAGAATGTAACAAACGATGTTGAGAAAGTTCAGATAATACTCACCTCTATAGATAACATCAGTGAAGATTTGAAGGGACACAGCCTCTCCCCAGCCAACATGACTTTCAGCTGTCAACCGGAAGTCATACAAAGCGCCTCTATAAAGATCACGAGCAGTGAAATTTGTATCTAAGGAACTAATATATGAATTGGTTATATACTCATCATCGCTGTCACTTATTTTATACTCTAGTCTGTATCCTAGAATAAAAGATATGTGTCTTTGTTTTTGACAATTTCTTATCATCAGTTTCTGATGAAATTCAAGAATTGTAGCAATATTTATTTATTTATTAAATTTGCATGACGAATAGATATACATCATTTTAAATTTCAAAAACAAAAACCTTCTGTATCGAGATATTCAAATGGAACATGAAAACTTGAATCATTAAAATATTTTGAGAGGCGGCCAATAGACAGTTTTTCAGTACTGGAAGTGGTATATCAGGTTATCACCAAATTGTGTCTGATTATTTCAAAAAAAAAATACAGTGCGTGTTATTAAAGATTCAAACGCCCGGCGTCATTTCATATATACTCCAACAGCGATTTGTAAATAAAACTTAGAAATGCACAAAGGTATATTTTTTGTTAATTTCATCGGCCATGTAAGCGTTTACTTCATTACCAAAACAGTTTATTTATCTTTTTATATAAACTAAACAACCACTTACCACTCACCACTGTGGGTTCGAATCCCGACAGGGACTAGCTTAGGGAACGTCGGTGGTTCTACTAAAGGTGCCAGTTCGAGCCTAAGGGCATCTTTGGTCTCCCACCACTAGTAAAGCTGGAAAGTCGCCATATGACCCATATTGTGTCGGTGCGACGTAAGACCCAATCAAAATCAAAATATAAACTGAACAGACTACCTTAGACATACCTGTTGGTATTCCTCGAATATCTAGTGGTGGCTGCCACTCAATTGTGACCTCGTAGTATGACACTGCCGGGAACCAAACACTGCTTGGTGGCCCTGGTACTGCGTAATTAAAACATGCAGCCACCATATTAATAATGAAACACTACTTCATTTATTTTCGTATAGAAATATACATTGAACATTTTATGTTGTAAGTTTAAAGGTGGATAACGATTAAGCAAGTGTTAAGAATCTGGAATGGACGGACGGATACCTTGAGGAAGATGAAAACAAAATCAAATGATTGAAAGTAACAGACTTGGGTTTTATAGGTTTTGTTCATGGGAGCTAGTGGAAAGTGCTACATCTTGCACACCCCATAGCACCGGCAAAAAGAATGTTTGAACACTAGCTTTATAATGTGTCAGCAATGTGTTTTAATGTAAATAAGTCTGTTGTAGTGAAATTTACCGTCAGCCATTGTTTTCACAACAATTTCTGGGGTACTCAGCTCTCCATCTCCCATCTTTGTGTAAGCCAACACTCGAACTTCGTATAGTACAAACTTTTGAAGGTTTTCTACAATAACATGGCGGGTGGTTCGACCAGGTGCATCTTTGAACTCGGAACTGATATTTCTTAGTGGTGATTTATACTCAACCTGTAGTTTATTGTAATACATAAGATATTAAACACTTGAACTAAATACTTGAACACATCTTATCTAACACATGTGTAATTAAATACTTATGTTTTTATTCAATAATCAAACTATTTTTATTTCTTTAAACATACACTTATCTTATTAAACCACTATATACTATGACGTTTGTTTTATAATGCAATCGAGGTTGGACTGTATTTATCTATCTTTTCATCATTTAGACATGTATGATTGACTTACATTATGTTTATATTGGAATCACTATACCCAAGGTTAGAATAAAATAAATGTTCTGTTCTATATACGTCAACTTTCTGTGCAATACAGTTTGTAAACGTGGTAGAGCTTTGTGTAAATAAAACTCGTTTTTCACATAAAAATTATTAAGAAATTAACCATCCCAAAATGTGGACGATGTAATTTGACTCGATGAAGAGAAATAGATACTTACACGAAATAACGTAAAAGGAATAATTTCTTAATGAAAATCCGCCCTTATATGTAAAATATAACATTGTCTTGCAGGAGATTATAACAAAATTTACCATACTTTATCTTACACCTTAATATGGAATAAATTTAGAATGATTGGTAATGACATAGAGGGTATTTGTTTAGTTCAGTGTAAGATCGGAATATATTTCACAGAGTGAGCACCAAAAGGTATATAGTATGAACTTTTGATGTTCACAAGGTGAAATATATTTCTATCTTACACTAAACTAAACAAATTTTCTTTTTATTATATGCAAAGAAACGTTTTAAAAAGACATTAAAACCTAATACTGAATGAAAAGCGCGCCAAATAATAATACAACGTGACGTCATTTACGACGTCACGTCATTAAGTTGGTACCCAGTTCTGTGCACGCTGGTATTTCACTGAAACAACGTAAGGGGCTTAAATTCAAAAACAGTGAAATTATCAAAGTGGTAATTTCACTGTTTCAAACAGTGAAATTACCAGTTTTTATATCACTGATATATTTCAATAAACCACCGAAAAGCATGTAATAAATAGAGGATATTTGTTTAGTTCAGTGTAAGATCGGAATATATTTCACCGAGTGAGCACCAAAAGGTATATTTCACGAGTGGCGCAGCCACGAGTGAAATATGAACTTTTGGTGTTCACAAGGTGAAATATATTTCGATCTTACACTAAACTAAGCAAATTTTCTTTTTATTATATGCAAAGAAACGTTTTAAAAAGACATTAAACCTAATACTGAATGAAAAGCGCGCCAAATAATAATACAACGTGACGTCATTTACGACGTCACGTCATTAAGTTGGTACCCAGTTCTGTGCACGCTGGTATTTCACTGAAACAATGTAAGGGGCTTAAATTCAAAAACAGTGAAATTATCAAAGTTTTTATATCACTGATATATTTCAATAAACCACCGAAAAGCATGTAATAAAAGTTTTTAATGCAAACTGATTTTTCTAATATTTTTTTCCCCTTTGATTAAGATATTTTCAATTTGAATAAAACAATTTACCTTAAAGCCTAAAATAATGCCATGTTGATGTAATATTGGCACATCGTCCCAAGATACATTCACGCTAGTTGACGATAATGCTATGGCGTCTACGTTCTCTGGTCCCTTACTCGGTACTGTATGAATAATAACAAGAAACAATATTTATTTTCAAATGATTTTTCCGTGCAAAGTATCAAGCCATTCTTGGGATTGAGCTAAGCCTTAGTTAGAATAGAATGGTAATAGTTTTATTATTACGACCGAAGGTTTTACAAAAAGGAAGACAAAGTTTTTGTTCATCAGCTTGAATATAATTAGACATTTTCTGACAAAATTATACAAATGATTTTCAATACAGTCCATCAAAAACACTTCACTTAGAAATAGATGCAAGTTTTTTCGAAAACCGCCTTTGTGAAAATTATCCTCTTTATAACTTAGTTACATAATAATAAACATCCATAAAATAACATTTGTTTTATTTCATTTAATCATTGCACGAATGTTCTACAAAACGCTATTTTAAAAGTCTAACCTGACTCCATTGTCCAAGCTAATATTTCTGTACTTTTCCTACTATAGCCAACATCATTATACGCTATCATTGTTATTTCATATTGCGTCCATTCTCGTAGACCTGCTATTATAACACCGTCCTCTCTTATATCATAATCTATATCTATGGTCTGCAATAGATAGCTATAATATAATATATGATAAACAAGGCGGCGTTTAACGAACGCAACCCCCATACGACCCAGCAACAAGAACCAGCGGCAAGGAGCCCTGGAGGACCTCAAAAAAATAGGACAGGCCGCAACAAATAATAAGGCTGGCACAATATTTTTTACATTTTATACTATAATTTACAATAGTCCTTTCTGATTCATAATGTCGACTCTTTCTTTTAAGATAGTAGATCTACCATTTGTTTTATATATGTATCAAATATCATACCAAATCACAAAAAAAGTTTTAAGCATATCATGAAAATATAGATGTAGAAACTGTTTACAAATTCTAGAACAATATCGTAATTTTCCAGCAACCTGAACATTTTCAGTGGTATTCTCTCAGCTTGGGAGGGAAAATAAAGTATCCTTTTGGGAAATCCATTTTCCCAAACACTCTCAGACAAAGGCCCGAAAAAAGAAAAGTTCAAAGAAAACAATTGAGTTGGTAAAAGTTTCGAGGAAAAAATATTTTTAAAAAATTTTTTGTTTTTAGGATTTTTAAACCCTAATAAGAATAGACCCCAGGTTTTACTTTCTAATAATTTACATAGCACTAATCTGGTAGCGAGATGGGTAAGGAAGTAAATCAATAGATAGACCTCTCTTCTGACCTTTTATTTGAATAACAAATGATTTCATCTCACACATTGACACGCATTCTTTTGTTGTGGTAAAATTCTTGTAATCGACTTGTCTGATAATTCAAATTGAACCGATTATGGTCATGCTGGGCACATTTCCTTTTTAATCATATTTAATGGCTAATATACATGTATAAATGTAAATATACACAGAAACAACAGCTTTTCGAAATAATAAACTGCTAAAGGGTTGGACCGTAGTGTTTTCAACATTAGCGATAAACCCTCCCCCAACTTTGCATTGTAAACTTAATAATAACGTTTAACTTATTGTCAATGAAAAAACAAAAACAAACCAAGTGCATTTATAAAACACATACTTGCTCTAGAAAGTCTTAATTTACCTTCCATGTTATTCGTAGGGCTGTGGCATTGAGTGCTCTAACAGTAATGTCTCCTGGCGGGTTTTCTGGTACATCTTGTAAGGTCTTGAACGGTCGTGTTGACCCACTAGGAAAACTCTGTCCTGCAGCATTCTCAGCTGTGATACGCAGTTTGTAGTCGGTAAAAGGCTTTAAGTTTTCTACTTTTAAAACTGGTGCTGCTAAACAATCAATCTATAAGGGATAAAAACACACACACTAAAATAAAGCATCTCGGCAAATTGCTTTAAAACTTAATTAAGGAGTTGAGCTTTCAAAATCTTTCACTAAAGAATCAATGCATGCCATAAAAATATATGTTAGGCTTTTATTTTTCATGACTCAATCAAACCGAGTCTGCAATTTTCATATAACTCTTTTGTTTTCATTGCTTCCGAGGGATCACCCCTTTTCAAGATTTGTCTTACTACACAAGAGCTGTTGTTCTGACGTTTAATATTTCGAGTTCATTGTGAAAATTGTATTCCAGCGTGGCCCGAATCAGCAAAAGCCATAGAATCCACAGCCAATGTTTTCATTCAGCAAATATTCGACTGTACAATGTGTTTTCATCAGGAAATTATATAAACATTGTGTAATACATTACCGTTTGAGTGTATATAGTTTTCCATTCTGCTGACACATTTCCTTCCAGGGCCTCGACATGAAAGGAAGACAAAGGATTACCACCGTCAGATCCTGGTATAAAAAGTAATTCAGCTGATCTTGTATCGACAAGTGATACTGCAAGGCTGGAAGGTGGCAATGGAAACCCTGTAATGAATGGGAATGTAGAACATTATAATCACAAGACCATTGGCCCATAGATGTAATCGCAAGAATGTTGTAAATAAAAGAATAATATTGACACTGTTTCACTGCTTTATTCAATGTTTTGCTTTATAACTTCTTTAGTTAAAACATTTTTTTTTTATTTACGGTCGATTACAACGAGTTGTAGCTTCTCTTTAGAATTACTCAAGAGCAGGCTTCCTGTAACTTACCAGAGTTGATGTTATAAGAGGAACCATGAACGGTAAATCTAGACGACCGATCCCTTTAAGAGCCTCTTTGATATGAAATTAAATAGTAAATAGTTCATTTTCATCTCCATACAGCCATATATTATGACGTACTTGTTGTTCAGTCGCCTTATCAAATCTCATTAAGAAATAGATCTCTACAATTATTATTTGGCAAACAAATGAAGGAAAACAATCGTACCTGGTGGAATCCAGGATTCAACATCAATTGATTGTGACGGACCATTTCCAACACTAGTGGAGGCAAACATTGATACTGTGTATATGGTCATTGATGAAAGGTTGGACAGTGTGTTGGTGTGAGCGCTGGAAGGCAGATAAATCCTTTCCCGTGTTCTATTGTCTTTCTTCCTCCAGTACAATAATGTGTAACCTAAATTTTAATGCCAAATAAAAAGAAGTATAAAAATAAGAAGCCTTTCATAGGTAATAAACGATAAGATATAACGACAATTCATTGAAACAGATGAAAGTAAGTTTACAATGGATGGATTGAAATATTTTCATACAAGGTTTTTCTATAGGCTAAGCACGTCGGTAACTTAACTAAAATATTCAGTATTACCTTATTGAACAGACAAACGAAGTTCTGGCAACCGAAAACGTCTTTGTAGCAATTTATAAAATGCAAATCAATACAATTATACAGTCCAGTGTCTTGTTTTATGACGGGTGTGAGCAGAAAAGGAGATTATTTAATTGTTGCTTCGTGACTTTTCATTCATTTTTAATAAACTGTTAAATCAATAACAATACCGATAATTATGCCATTTCTTTCAATTGGTGGCTTCCAGTTTATTGTCACTGATTCTTCTGTAACTTCACCAATGCCTAACCATTCTATCTGTGAAGGCACTGTAACAATTATGCCAAAACCTTTGTCAATTTTGACAAACATATCCAATTGATTTTTTAACTGTTTTAGAAGTATGTGTATATGAATGATTGAACGATAAATTCTAAACATGTATAGAAAAGAAGTATTTTGCAAAATACAAATATAACGCGGACAACGGACAAATAATTCCTTGTTTTAGGACCACTGACATCTGTTATTTGAATAACATTTCATCACTGATTCGGTTGGTTTAGGCTTTCTATAAGGTTAAGAAGTATACCCAGCTGCCTAAGGACAGTCACGGGTTACACTAATGTGCATTGACATTTTAAAATAAGGAAGCAAATATAGATATAGTATACACTGATATTCTGCAATAAATAGTCTGATATTCAAACAAAGCTGTAAATTAGTCACAAAATATTACATAACAATCAAACTATCTAAGAATATTGTACAACAAACAGAAGCCATCATTCTTGTCTCATCTGAGTACATGTATTTAAATCTTTTAGTTGTTACCGTACCAGCCCCTCAATAAAGCAAGAATTTATGAGGTTCTTTTAAAGTTTAAACAAAAACAAACTATTCGACATACAATCTTCTGCTGTTTTCACTGCTTTTGTGTTAGATTGTGGACCATCTCCTTGACCTGTGTAGCACAACACGGAAATTTCATACACCGTGAATGGCTTCAAACTAAATAAAAAAAAGTTGATAAAATAAACGTTTTGGCATCGCTATTATGAATTAATGACCAATATTTAAGTAACAGTACTTATCATGTCTATAGAATGAACTGAAATCAAAACAATTAAAAAGATAAACAACAAAATAAAAAAATATACATGTATATCATAAAATCTGAAATATCCACTACATACCACAAATCAGGTAGAAACTTAAATCAGGTAGAAACTAAAACATTTCATGCGTACTTGTGAAGAATAGCGTGTTGGGTGCCTATAGGGTTAGACGGATCATGCGGCACAATCATTTCACTTTGCGTAGGTTTTTTGTCTAGTTTCAATGCCAGTACTTTATATCCTAGATTTTTCCCATGGATATACTCCTGGTTAGGAGGGGTCCAGCTGACATTTACAGCTGTTGAATTCAAAACACGAACTCTGAGATCTTTAGGTGAGGCTGTTGGAAGACCTTCTGACGTCGCTACCTTAGTACGTAAAACATGTTTTAATAAGATATACAAGATGCACTAGTATTATACAAATTCAAACCCTTAGTACTTATGTAGCTAAAGTTAATACTTGACTTTAATTGTGTTGTCCTTTCTTAGACGGATCTTGCAATTTACATTACATCTTTTTGTGACTTATTAAAAATGTTCACAAGGAGAAACAATGAAGTTGTGGTTGGAAACTCGGAAAAACTTATACTGGTGCTGAACATTGTTATTTTCTTACAATAAATTTGTACATATATTTATTTATACAACTTATCATAAAATATCACTTATTAATTGAGTAACATAAGCAAAAAGAGAGTAAGACTCATCATAATACTGAGACATATACTGGCATTAAAATTATATGGCTGACCATACATACTAACTTTGATAATAGAGTATACACCGGCACCCTTTCCATTAAATGCAGCTATCTGAATATCATAAGTTTTATAGATCGCTAATCCTTGAAGTTCGTACTGTTGATAAGGATAACTGTTTGATACTGGGACCAACTTCTGCTGAAAAGTACTATCTGGAGAACCAGCAAGTTTGTATTTTATAAAATATCCGAACAGTGGTCCATTCCAACTGTCCTCGTCCGGAGGAATCCATGCTAGTCTGATTGTAGTCTTTGAACTTGCAATACCATAGAAATCCTTCGGCGAACAACTTGGCGCTTTAACAAAAAAAATAGTAATAAAATTATTATACTAATAGTCAAAATGAGACAATGTTTGTGCTTATCAAAATCTATCTAGTATTTTATCATTTTATGTGGGATTACTGGGGTAAAAACAAATAGTTATATGTGTTCAGTATCACTTATTTATCCCTTTGCCATAATAAAATTGACATATACATCTACTCAAAGAAATAATTTATCAAAAAGATAAAGACAAAGACATTTTTTTTTTGAAAACTAGAAAGTAAAATGTTGTTTCTTACGTAATTGTGGTATAGCAAGAGGCGGTATGGGTTGGGGCATACTTGGTGATCCATTTCCTACCTCATTGGAAGCCGTTACTCTGAACTGATAATTTCTGGCTGGTCTAAGATCTGTGATAATAGCTTCCCTGATATCCGGCTGTATGTTGGATTTAAATGTTACCCATCCTTCGACAGTTATAAAAATAAGAGTAAAACAAGTTTGAGTAAACGAAAGGAAAGAAAACAATATAGGAAATAAACAATGTAGATTGTACTTTTATTTTGTATATCATTTGATTTTACACTGTGTCGACAAAATGTGTTTTTTAGTGATTCTTATGTTCTCCATTTTCAGCTGCATTGTAGTTGTTAAAATGAGATATAAATTCAAAAATTATTGTTTAGGTTTACTTACGATTTTAGTAAACATCACTTGTATGTCTTAAGTTATTATTTTGACATGCACTCAAATATATTGTAAACTATATATTTATGAACAACTGCAAAATAACAATATTGTAGAATATTTTACAAAGAATATATATATCTCATTGATACGAGCAAACTATCTAAACCAACCTTTATGTTCGTTGTCATTGGATACCTCCCTGTATTCTATGATAAACCTTGTAATCGGAGAATTGCCGTCAAATCCTTGGACCCATTTAACAAATGCTGCACGCTCATCAAATGGATACAGGGTGGCGATCGAGATAATCGGAGACAATGGAAACTCTGTTTAAAAAGGATTTCCATAAATTACATCATTTAGATTAGTTTAATAATATTTATTTAAGCTCGATTGCAAAACAATTTCTTGCAACCTAAATTATAGTTGTCTGTAAGTCCGCTTCCTTGAACTATCCAGAACTGGCGTCATATGACGAAACAAGGTTGTAGTCGGAGTTAAAGAAACAATGTTTGAAAGGGTTTGCACAGAATAATAATATCTGTCATATTTTGCGGTTCGGATCGGAATATCCGTCCCGAGTTGACCCGCCCATTGGGCGGTAACGAGGCTTGCCGAGTTACCGCCCATGGGCGGGTGACCGAGGGACGGATATTCCGATCCGAACCGCGAACATATGTCAGATATTTTTTCTTGCATATTCTACCATATTCCATTATATTTTAAATTCTTTATCTTTATTTTCGATGAAAATTTATATCATTACAACCGTAACTACTTTCTTACAACAGCGTATGAATTACAACTTCATTCATAACGGTAAAATGACGTCATCCTAACCGTGCCATTGTGCAGCACGCGACTCATCTGGAACCCCCTTGCCAGATGAAATTTCCGGCATGGGTAAAACTCACGGAAACGCCGGTGTGATAAAAATGAAATTGTTCACGTTCTTATACTTTATGGCGTGTTTCTTTACAAGTTTCATTGACCAGTTTTATACAAAGGCCACGAATACATAACCTTATTGAAGATGAGCAAAATATCAATTCATTTCAGAATACTTAATAACTTAGCTGACACAATATACGAATGATACCACTAAAGTGATTTTATTTTCAAAATGAAAATGGATGTAGTAGTTTTTTTATATAAAACGCTTTCGTTTTGTAACTCATTTGATGTGCATGATCCATCTTTAAATTCATTGGAAGCTCGACATTCGTTCGTTTAATGAATTTTGAATGTTTGTCTCACATCTGGCTCTGAGATTGATGCTAAGACGAGCATCGCCCTTTTAATGAATATGAATATTGAAATAAATATCCGTCTTAAGAGTTGACTCGAAATTCAAAGTAAGCTGGATATTGCTAACTTTTAATTACAGAACTGATCTCAAAGTTCAAACCTAATTGGAAACTGAATTTTGATGAACGTTTTCAGTTCAGAGATACATTCTCGGAGTTCGAGAAAACTATATGAAGTATTTTTTGATGATTTAAGATCAGTCATTTACAAAAAACCAAAGAATTTCATTGGCTTAAAAAATAGGCTATATTCTAAATGTTAATTTAACATCATACCAATAACTGTTAGGGACGCGGACCTTTTGTCATTTCCTCCAATTGACGTCACAGTGCACGTGTATTCTCCAATGTCAAAAAATTTAACTCCTTTAATAGTCAATGTTCCATCAACCGATATTGACCGTCTGTAGTCGTTGAAAATTTGATCATCTCGGTTCCATTGTAACTTACGATAGGTCCATTTCCACGTGACTTTGACTTTGGCATATTGAGACACGCCACAGTAAAAGATCGCTGTTGAACCCTTTACAATTCTTTGATCTTCAGGCGGTTTGATTATTTGTGTAACAACTGTAAATATATTTAATTATTACTTAATGCCTTCTATAATTACTAGTTCATTATTATTAATTGATTATATCAGTTATAAATCCCCTCGGCCTCTGGAATCAGTTCCATATGTTATCCCAGATAGCGAGGGGCAACAGTTTCGACTGTTCCACAAATACCCATGAAATAACTATATTATGTTTATTCAAAATACGCAGTACCTTCTACTTAACACCTGAAGGAAATGGTCATTTATCAGCATGTAAAACTTGTAATCCAAGTACATTTACGGGCGATTCGGTATTTTAGTATATGCAATGCTATTAGTCTCAGTGACAACCATCTTCAAAGTATTTTAATTAATCAAAAAAGCCAGGAAGAAATACCCGACGCTTCAAAAGCGTTCAGTTTGCAAACAGATGCAAAAAATATCGACACATTCACTCATATAGAAAATTTAATAAAATTGTATTGAACACCCCCAAAATACGTTCAAGAAATAGTGGAGGCTCTTTGTATGTGAGAATATGATTCAAAAGAACGTTATGACACATTTACTCAACCTTCTAAAATTACTGAATAATAATGACTAAATAAGCGATTTCCCCAATTTTTGGGACTCTCTCTTGCATTCTAAAAAGTCAACGAAACTTTCGTAAACGTGAGATTACCGGAAGAAATAAATAAAGGAGATTAGCATGGACCATGTCTCAATTTTGATTTTCTTATTCTTCTGAAATTGTCTTTATAAAAATAAAATTTAACATTTACAACTTACTTTTACAAGTTTTTCCATCTGTATCCAATATTCCATATGTACACTGACAATATACGTTCCCGTTTGTATCTATGACACACACATCTTGACACTCATGGTTACCCTCTTTGCATTTATCAATGATGCAAGTGTTGCTATCTCTGTGTATCGCGATAATTCCCCTGGGGTTAACAAACAAATTATCCCGAATGCGCGTAAAGTCCGAACCGTCAAATTTGTTGATGCGAATAACAGCATTCATGAGCCAGTCAGTCCAGTAAAGGTACTTGCCCAACACAGCCAGGCCAAAAGATTGTTGACGAACGGATGAAATTATCTAAAGAAGAAATAATAATAACCTATTAAATGTATATATATATCAGACATTTGAAATATTTTTCTTCTGAATATATTTATTACAGAAATATATCTAATAAGAAATACAAGTGCGAATTAGCCAAAGGCAAGTTTTTGTCGATATTTGCTAATAAAAGTTGTTGTTGTATTAATAATGAACCATACACTTTTTTCGAGTCTGTGCCCAACCTATACCAATGAGTATGTTACTAGATATAACAAAAAATATGTTTCCAAATACATTGCATAACAAATAGTATGTTTCAAAATATGATAAAGAGTTTGTTCAAAGAAATAATAAACAAGAACAAGAAGTATATTTAAGGTATATCACAGAATAATCCAAAGTGATGCAAAAGTATGCTGCAAGCAGTGGTTTTTAACAAACAGAATGTTCCAAAATGTAAAAATAAGTGCTCAATATATGTTTAAACCGTGTGATACAAAATATAAAAAGAGAATGTTCCAAGTAAAAGGTAAAATTATGTTCCAAGATAAATGTATGACAAAGGATATGGTACGAGATATAAAAAAGAGTTCATAGAGATAGAAAAGAAAGAGTAAATTTAAATAAAGGGAGTGATCCAAAATACTAAAAAGAGTATGCTACAAGATGTAAAAAGAGTATTTTCAAGATAAAACAAAGATTATGTTGCAAAAATGAACACAATGTATGTACATGTGCCTAGCTATAACCAAAAGTTTGTTCCAAATGTAGCCAGGAGTATGGTGCAAGATATAATCTACTGTTTCAAGATATAGCAAAGAGAATGTTGCAAATTATAAATGTTCCAAAAGTATGACCAAACATAAATCAAAAATATAGCAAAGACTTTCAAAGAAAATGCATAAAGTATGTTGCAAGAAATTGAAAAGTGTACGTTTTTAGACATAACAAAGAGTATGTTCCAAAACATAGCAAAGACTATACTCCAATATATAAGAAAGGGTATCTTTCAAAATTTAGCAAAGGATATTTTTCCACATATTACAAAAAGTATGTCCCAAGATGTAACAAAGAGTAGATTCAAAGAAATATGTCAAAGAAATAAATCATTAAACTTATAACTAAGAAAGAAAATAGAAGAGGTTTACATTTATGTTTAACTTACTTTTCTGTTGGATCCGTCCAGATCACATTTTTCGATCTTGTCTAGAGTTGCATCGGACCAGTACAATATGTTAGTTGTATGGTCAATAGTGAGACCTTGTGGTGATAAAATATCAGTATTGATAACTATTTGTATGTTTTTACCCGTAAGTCTTGCTCGCTGTATACTTGGTCTATATATACTCCAAGTGACCCAGTACATGTACCTGTTATAAACAGATAAAGAATAAAAAAAATTAAAATATATGTGTAAGTGTTTGACATCAGCTCATTTTGGATAAGTAATGCTATGTAAAGCGTTATTTCCGGACGAAAAAATAAACTGCTGAAAACACCTTGTTGGGAGGATGAAAACAACATGACTAAACGTTCACTATAATAAGACCCTTACTGATTCTATGAAGAAGATATTGTTTCCTTATTAGTTTTATTGTTTCAACGACATGATTATGGTACAATCTTTGATAAGTTACCATATGATCACATACTTTACGAAAGCATCATTTTAATTAACAACGTTAACTTAGATTTTAAAAGAACTATTTCATCACCTCTCTTTATAGTTTTACAGTTTTCCATTGTCAGATAAAATTCTCTGACTTACTTTTCGCAATGTTCTATAACTATTGCCCTCGGGCGTTCCTCTTCTGGTTGTTGTATTAGAACTTCCGGTTTAGTGGTGACGTCATTCAATGCGATATTGACATTAATCTTGCTGATACGAGATTCGGTACTACTCGTAAAATAGATGTCTCCGCCAGATCTTTCGTATGCTAAACCATGCACTTGTCCGATATCTAGAGTACAGTATTCATGGTTAAATGTATTAAATAATGGAAATATATGTTGGCTGATTTGTGCCATGTCTTCTTTTGCTCCGCGGGGCGCCAGACGAAATTAGAAAATACGACAAAGTCCCTAATCCTTGGAAAATCGGGCAGTCACTAGTGAGAAAATTAACTATTTGAAAAGCAGAAAAATAAGCCCATGAATACCTTGATTGTTAATTATCTGCCCTTGAAATAAGCAAAATATTCAAATTCAAGGGTAGAAAACTCAAAAAACAAGCTCGATGACTACTGATTGTTTCCCTTATCTTAAATCACGCCCGTTTAACTCACAACGAGTGAAAAATGTCCATCGGTAAAAATGTTGTGAGCAACTTCCGTTCCTCGTTGTGAGCACCCACCTATGACGAGTGACACGATAAACAAGGTGAGTTTTTCATAATTTTTGAAGATTACAGACATTTATGTAAATATATCGGAATGCAGTTAGCTAGCGATGTGTTTTCCGAGTATGCACATGTAAAGATATTGCCTGTTGGTGGACAATTTGATGGAAATACCGTGCGACGCAGTCACTCGGCGTAGCTGGAAAACTGGAGACAACTTCTCTTTGGACCTAATTTAACATTGAAAACGTCGATTCTGGTGACGTTTTGTGCATTCTAACCTCAAACAGATGCCAACAAGTCTTCAGCATAAATTATTATCTGAAAGTCTTCGTAGAAACGAAGATATACTCTTTTTTGCTTTAATCCTCGATGTGAGCACCATAACCTCGTTGTGAGCAAGACAAGCGCAGTGCTTGTCTGGTTTTAATATGTAATTCAAATGGCAAGAATACAATTTTCAATCTACCAAAAGCAATCAAAACGTTTTTGAACAATAGTTTTTCTTTGCAATAGTTCTTCTTTTTCTTTTCTTTTTTTTTTTTTTGAAAATTATTCTTCATATTCACAAGTCATCAGATTAACAGAAGAACTAATCAGTGGAGGTAAATCAGGTATTTTATTTCGTATACTCTAGTGTGGCACGAGTGAACATCACGGGGTGTTTATGAATATTTCAACAATTTCACGATCTGTGTGATACACACATACATGTGTTTATCCTGAGCTGAAGACTGACCAAGTTATGTAAAACAAGAACTATCACGGTAAGTTGACAATGCCCCTGAAGTGGTGCTTTGTCCTTTGATTTATGGACCAGATAGATTATTTGTTTTTGAACAATTAGATCTTCAATGTGAAGGTAATTCAAGGTCAAGGTGAAATAAATATAGGTCAGTTGGAAGGTCTTGTCCAAAGGGGCATTGTGTCCAAATATGAATTAATTCCACTTACTTATAAAGAAGTTATGACCAATGTTAAAGTTTTTGGATGTTCTAGAAAGTCATTCACGGTACAAGGTAAAAAAATTAGATCAGTTTGAAGGTCTTGCCTAAAGGGGTGTTGTTTCAAAATATGAGTAGAATCCGTATACTAATAAGGAAGTTATGACCAATTTTTATGTTTTTGGACAATTTGACCTTCAAGGTGAAGGTCATTCAGGGGTCAAGGTCAAAAGAATATAGGATAGTTGAAAGGCCTTGTCCAAAGATGTGTTGTGCCTAAACATTATGCCAGGACATTATGGCCAATCTTAAATGTTTTTGGACAATTTGACCTTCAAGGTAAAGGCCATTCAGGGGTCAAGGTAAAAAATACAGGTCCGTAGGAAGGTGCTAAGGGATGTTGTGTTCAAATATGAATCAAATCCGTTTACTAATAAGGAAGTTATGGCCAATGTTAAAGTTTTCGGACAGATTGACGGACTGACAGACGGACAGTTTAAAACTAATATGCCTCCCTTTGGAGTATGCACAACGTCTTGCAAAGAAATGCTGTTGTGCAAAAACGTTTTAATTGCTGTGGTAAATTGAAAATTATATTTTCACCATCTGAATTACATATTAAAACCATACACGCACTGCGCTTGTCTTGCTCACAACGAGGTTATGGTGCTCACAACGAGGATTAAAGCAAAAAAGGGTATATCTTCGTTTCTATGAAGACTTTCAGATAATAATTCACGCTGAAGACTTGTGGGCATCTGTTTTAGGTTAGAAAGCACAAAACGTCACCAGAATCGACGTTTTCCATGTTAAATTAGGTCCAAAGAGAAGTTGTCTCCAGTTTTCCAGCTACCCCGAGTGACTGCGTCGCACGGTATTTCCATCACATTGTCCACCAACAGGCAATATCTTTACATGTGCATACTCGGAAAACACATCGCTAGCTAACTGCATTTCGATATTTTTACATAAATGTCTGTAATCTTCAAAAATTATGAAAAACTCACCTTGTTTATCGTGTCACTCGTCAAAGATGGGTGCTCACAACGAGGAACGGAAGTTGCTCACAACATTTTTACCGATGGACATTTTTCACTCGTTGTGAGTTAAACGGGCGTGTTAAATGCAAAGTGTAAAGAAAATCTGTTTCAGACTATAAGTCTTTTAGTATATGAAACTGTATGGTTAAGCTCAACACTTACGCTCAAACAATTGTGGTTATTATACGTATTTGCTTTATTAGTATGTGCTGTAAATTTAATAATTTTGGCACCAGACCCTCTTTCAAATACTACATACTTTAAAAGAATACCTTTGACAACCACTTTGATATTAGTTCCATTCAGAAACGTTGACAGGATATTTTGTTTTCGCTCATCGCTGAAGAAAAGCCTCTCGCCCACGTAGTCGAACGCGAGGGCAGCAACAGCTCGTATATATTTGTTATTTGTAATGGTGTATACCGGGGAAACAGGATCTTCTTCGTCAATAACATTTATACTCTCGATTGTTCGGACCTTTGAAAACATGAGAAAGCCATCACTGGGATCTACAATGTAAAAAAAAATATGATGAGCGTTTTTTATAGTACAGCTTATTGTGGTGTATATGCTTATTATACAGTTATTCAATTTTTATTGGATTGGAAAAATATATTTAGTCAAATAAGTTTAGTCAAATATTGTACATGTACTTATTCATGTATATAGTTATTTGCTAATTATGTTACCATATTACACGCAAATGTATATGCATGTGTGCCTACATGTAACAAGCATGCGGTGCGTTTGTGTGAGCATATATGTTACAACCAGATGTGCACATGTGGTTGCATACACGCAAATGTGTCATAAACGTGACAAGTAAATGTATATACGTGCGTGCAAATATTTAGTAGAGTAAGTAAATATGTATGTGTGTTATTTTTCATACACGTGTTAAAGAAGCATGCCTCCATGGCAGATTCATGCTAATTTTCATGAACAGTTTTAAAATGTATTTTTAAAAAGTTAAATATTGTGAAGAGAAAAAGAGAACGAAGAAATTAATTTTCTTATTGCAAACAGCACTTAAAACCCATGTTAATTACCAAAAGGTGGTCAAAATATGCAAAAATAACCCTTACTGTGTTAGTTACGCACAAGAAATAATGTGAAAAAATACTGCAAAATCAGTCATAATCGCACATAACATGGAAATTACTATTGCTATTTTGAAATTTTTTACTTTTCTTACAATCTTAGTATACATCTACTTTTTTCTCAAGTTTGATTTTCTTGAAATAATTGTCTCATCTAGAGGTATGCAGCTTTAAATACATGTAATAATGATGCATGTATGTGACTGAATTAAGTAGCGTGTTCGATCAACATTATGTAGTTTGTTTGTTTGTTTGTTTTTTTGTTTGTTGTTTTTTTTCGGATATTTTCTTCTTCATGTCTTCATGAGAGTACCCAGAAATTTCTGGCATATATAAATAAGATAAGTAAAAGTACACTATTTACTGTAATTGCTTGAGACAAATCTTATCAGCTCCAGACGACCTCTTAGGTCGAGGTCGAGAGTTTACTTGCTGTATTCCATCATTAAAACACATACTTCTATAACTTATTTTTTATATCAGATTAAAACATTTCTAGAACTACTTTTTATCTTGTAAGTAAAAATATTATCTCAGGGAAAAACATCTTATTGATATTTTAACTCAGATTTTGTCAGTTCAGCACAGAAAAATATACCAACGTTTGTTATAAAAAGGTAGATGGTATAATGAAGTAAAGTAAAAGTACATTTTACCTTCTGAGTTGCAGCAGATGTCATAACTTAATATCAGCAGCAATAAAAACCAAACCGAATGACCCATTTCTTAGAAAAAAAAACTCTATCCGATTTAAATCCGTTTAGAATTATCGGTACATATGTAAACACATTTTGCTGGTATATATAAACAATCTGAGAAATAGCTGAATTGTTCGAAATAAACCAGTTCTTTCAATTATCCCAATTGTTAACATTATCTCATTTTCTTGTCAAGATTTCTGGTTTCTATAAATTGCTGTGTAGTTTATTTACTGACGTCTGTAGGAAAGAAAATACAGTAAACACGCTCGAATTAGTCGTTAGCCTTTGTCCATGGGGTCTAGATGTCTACCTCTCAACCTAGGGACCATGGATTCGAACCCTCAACGCGTCGAAGAAGGGGATTCTAAAGGGGTTTAATAAGCTTTCATCAAGCGTTCATCAAAATCGAGCTCAAATAAACACATGTATGTTTAAACTGAACGATCTGCTGAATTAATGAAAAGGGTTTTACGTATTTTTCCTACAAAGATATGAGTTGTTCATTGGGAATGTTAATGATGGCAGTTTACTTTTTTTCTGAATATCATGAAAAACGCCTGCTTATTTTTATGAATTTGAATACAAATTTTCATTTAAGAAAAAAAATGTTGACCTATTAGATATACAAAGTAAATGATTTTACCTAGTCTAAAACACTATGGATCCACAGAAACTACCTATAACATGTCAAGGTATAAAAAAAAACATTTTATTGAATTAAAACGGGGTAATAAAAATCGAAGACTTACTAAGATAAAAACACAGCGGGTGATCTGGGCTGGTTGCTCAAAAATGACGTCTTTTGTATATAATATCAGAACAGAGCACGATATTCATATAGTAAAATAAAAAGGAAAGTGGAATAAATTCAAGTGTAAATTTCTTTTTAGTGCAGATATTATTTACATATCCAAAGGATTTCCGACTCAGTAACATAAATAATTTTATTTATAGAAAAACTATTGTATTTAGTTCAGACTTTCATTGTCATTGTCGGTTACTTTTCTTAGATGATTTGACTGAAATAAACTTTATTGCTCTTTTTGTATGTCAACATGCATAATAATACATCATTTAATTTATAAGTTAACCTGGATATAAAATTAGAAAAGCATTGTCTGATGACCAATTTCTAAAGAATACAAGTAAAAATCAAACGTTTATACGAATAATATCGGTACTGCTTTTGTACGGCAACTACTCGCATGCCAGTAAATATTTGTATAGTTTGGGACTAAGTTACAGCAGGATCAGTTTCTAGACTAACTGGCACTGATGTCATACTTGGTCGTTATCCAAATAGGGCTCCAATATATGTTCGCTCTGGGATGTGATAAGAGGCAACCTTTTCGTTATTCAGAAATATACTTATGACACACAGGGCTAAACCATTACGTACATTCAGAAGATTAAGACTTGTTTATCAGATTCGGGTGGAAAATACGACTTAAAATAAATGATCAAAGATTAGATTTTATATAAAAACAAAAGCAATTCGTTGATTATGAGTTACTCCATTTGATTAGCACTGCTTGCATGATGTACAAGCCACAGGGAAATCTGTCATTATTTTATTAAATCTATATATATAATATAAACAAGGGATACAAGTCGTGGCCTCGCACTACCAGCACGGGTTCGTAAAATGCATTCTCACGTGTAAACTGATTAAAATATCCTCTATTCCATCAAAGTTATTGTAGAAGTTAATATATGAACGAGTCATTACCCAAGTTCAAACACTTCATTAAAACCTGTAACATTGCAGGAAATAGCTAACATTTCAATATTTACATTGGCTGTCAAGTTGTCGTCCATTTTGCAGGTGTGTTTATGTTCCGAGTATTTTCATTGGCTGATGAAAAAAACGCTATTTGTCGCGGCTATATGCCGTTATTATCCGGATTATTATTATTCATTAGCCAATGAAATTGACAGTTACTAACAGAAGTTGGATTTACGCATGGAACATACGGGCAACATCAAAATGGAAGCCGAGGATAGAAATTATCAAAACAAACAATAATTGTTACAATAATTTGTACCAGAAGATAATGATTGCATCATTGATGGTGGTAGATGATTGATTTTTAACCGATTACATGATTAAACTTTCTTATATGAGCATACGTTTGCATTAGATGTCGTTTTACACGTGTAATTTTACAAACCGAAATTTTACGAACGTGTGTAAAAATGAAACATGAAAGGTTATTTTTAATAATATCTTGTCCATGTAACAAAGTGAGTCATTTTTTTTGAAATTATCGATTCTTTCATCAATGTCCAACAATCAAAAGAATAAAAACTGTTGTATACTGCGTTCTATTTACTTTTTCATGAATTGAGCAATTTTGAGTTGTATCCCTTGTTATATTATATACATAGTGGGAAAGGAAAAAAAATGACAGAATCCCCTGTGGTACAAGCAGTCAAGACTTGGATGTAAATACACTTGCAGATTATACATTTTATCCAATATCCCCGAATTCTTCTTAGTTATAAGTACAACTTTATTTTCCCAAATGGTACATTCGCCATTTAAATGGGGTTTTTTCCGGTATATACATGTAGTAAAATATAATTATCAACAAACACGATAAAATTGCTAATGCTTTATTTCTATATAATTATGTCCACAGTAAAGTTTTATTACACGGACAATGCATGCTAATCGGCGTCAACTAATAGAGCAAAAGTCCTCGCAAATTGTTGTCTGACATTTATTTAAGAGATAATATGCGTGTATATGATGATGCTGCATTTGCAGTCTATTGAAACAATAAGCAAGTTAGTGATACAAATGCAAAATATAGGTCCTCTAGATAAAGCGAACTATGTCATATATATGTATACACTTTAACGTGTATGCACTATAGCTTAAAAGCCATGATCTTATATCAGATCTACATCAATCATATGATGTATTACTCCATTTCAATGATGTCATTTCCGGGTGCCATGTTGAATTGATATACATGTACAATGTCCATCTTATTGAAGCTTCACCACAGATCGGATACTGAAAAAAAAAATAAAGTAATAAAGAAAAATATATATGACAGAATGTTATTTTTCTAGTACCATATTTTCTGTAAGATGGGATATAGAAAGCAACTATCAATTTTAAGAAGTAACAACAATTTTAATTTTCAATTAAATGTAAAGCACTAATTAATATATGTTATGCTCTTCAACTATTGGAAGAAATAAAAGAATACACATTTCCAGAATGTAACAACAGTTTTAGTTAAGACATGGTCTCAGTTGAAAATTTCACTTAGAGGCTAAAACTTTTAGTCGGCTTACGTCAACATATTCTAACCATGCGACCAGTGCAGACGAAGTTTACCCGGCACATCAGTGATATCTGACCATGGTTCGATATTCAGTCAATACATACAATATTTTGAAAGTTCCCTAAAAAGTGATTAATGGTTTTGTTTAGAATAGAAGATGGACGAGTACATTTAAACTATGTAGGTTCGAAGGGTTAAGAAATTTCAGTATGAGTAGAGGGGATTCTAACTCGATGTCAATGGTTTTGCAATAAAACATTTGTGTTCATCGGTCATGTATGAATGCGATTTGGGTGTTCCAGGACTATCAAGGAATAAAGTAAGTGTTCATAAAGGAGCTTTCCGAATTTTAACGGAAATTGCAAATTTAACTGTAGATCTATAAATCTAATTTATCCAACATTTTATACATAATAAAATTGTAATTGATATTATGCAAAGCAACGTAATCATGCCGTTACTTTCAAGGATATGTTTTTTTTTTCTGTTTTATGTAAATTAATTGACATTTAATTTTGATGAATTATACAATCTTGTTTTATTTGAATAAAGCAAAAAAAAAATCATGATGGCTTTGACAATTTGATTTTATCTATGACGTTCTTACGCATAAATTTGATAGTAACCCGTTTTATGTTACTTACTGGCATCAATGTCATTTGCGATTTACAATAAAATAGTTTGAAGTATTATATACTTTATGTATTTGCCATGAGGTCTGATCGAGTCTTGCTGCAGTGTGTATAATTTCCCGCTCATCTCGAAATGATGTTTAATTAACTATTTTACCCTCATTAATATGTTTATATTATATATATCATCATTTTTATTAAAAAATAGACCCGAAATGATTATTTTACTGCAATGTTGTAGCATGGGGTTTACATATTCATCTGAAAGATATGAAACTAGTCCCTACCTTTTCCCAGCTCGCATGAGGTCAAATGCCTCATTGACCCCATCAAGTGTAAATGTATGCGAGATAAATTCATCCACCATCAGTTGCTTGTTCATGTACATTGTTACCATCTTTGGTACACTTTCCTTCCCTTTACATCCTGTAAAGATTTGGAACTATTACTGCACTAGCAAAGGTATATAAAGGTAATATAGTGCCAATAACTGTTTTAGAAATGTTTAATATATTCAAGGCAGTAGACCGACCTGGACAATCCTGCCCTACTTCACAACTATATGTTTGTTTGTTTGAGTGGGTGGGTTTAACGGCACAATAACACATGCTGGCCTTAAAAAGGGTTTTTAAATCTTATGTTAGCAATTGAAGTCTTATTCTTTATGAACCACCCTGAAAGTCATTGTCGGATAAACGTAGCGTTCACGGACATCATATTTGCGAGTACAAGATTAAAGATTGACCTATTGAAAGATAAACTGATCGAGTCAGAGACAGTACTTCTTCTATCCAATGGTCAAAAATGGAAACATTGAATAACCTCAAATTATTTGCTGCCCTATGCACCGTTTATATGGACATATAGTTAGAAAACTTCTGCAAAGTCACTGAACATTCAAATGTTTCAATTTTGCAAACTGGCACCGACTCACATTCTGTATTCCTTTAAAACAATCTCAATGTATTCTTATTTATCTTCTCAGTTTTTATAGCTTAATTACAGAACTTGATTAAAAAAAGGGATCACAAAGGGGAACAGCAAAGAGCAAATGAAAGATTGCAGTACATAAGATACCTCCAAAGAAAGTGCCCTTCCAAACTCTGCCGAAGAGGAAAGGAAGTGGCGACACGGCGACCTTCTCACCAACGGCGACCAGTCCTACCACAGTAGCGACGCTAGGTCCGACACGACAGCTGTTGAACGCCGAATTCTAGAATAACAACATTTTATGATAAGCAATAAAGAAGATCACGAATAATGTCATCGTTTGATTGTTTGAAAGGGTTTCAATATAAAAGAATAGATATTGAAAAGAAGGAAAGATCTACAACTATTTGGAACACTTTTCTTTTGAGACTAGTAATAATATTCAACAAAATGTCAAAGTAAAGATTTCACCATTAAATGTATCCTTAACTGATGTTTGAGAAAGATTTATTTATAATTTATTTTATATTTTTATAGCACTGGCATGAAGCAACGTTCACATGGACTGATTTATCTACCGCAGAGCAAAAGTAAAACAAAATGTGAAATTTATTTCAACATTATTCTAAATTAGAAAGCTTAAGATAAACATAAATCACGGAATGAGATAACACCTGATGATTTAAATAAAACATATGTCTTTAATTATATAGCGTTACCATGGTTGCCGTGCTCCCAACACATTCAAATGTATATTCGCATCCTCCATTGGTTAACTCTTTGATAACTTCTTCAATAGGTTTGTTGTAATCTTTTGGATTCACACACTCAGTAGCGCCAAATTTCTTCGCTTAAATAAATAACATTTAAACACTAAATTGGAAGGGATACGAACATTTTACCTTCAAGTTTGAGATTATACAAGAATAATTGAGATATGTTGTCGGGCAAGAAATTCTAAGAATTCGAAAATATCCACGATGTAGGGAGTAAATGATATCGTGTTGAAATGACTGAATGATTGTATCGTGTTAAAATGACTGACTGATGATTGTATCCTGTTAAAATGACTGAATTTGAAATGAATGAATGAATGATTTTATCCTGTTGAAATAGTCGCATGATTATGTCATGTTGAAATGACTAAATCATTATATCCTGTTGAAACGACTGAAAGATTTATCCTGTTGAAATGACTGAATGATTATATCGTGCTGAAATGACTGAATGATTATATCCTGTTGGAATAACTGAAGGATTGTATCGTGTTGAATTGACTGAATGATTGTATCGTGTTGAATTGACTGAATGATTGTATCGTGTTGAAATGACTGAATGATTGTATCCTGTAAAAATGACTGAATGATTGTATCCTGTAAAATTGACTGAATGATTGTATCGTGTTGAAATGACTGAATGATTGTATCCTGTTGAAATGACTGAATGATTGTATCGTGTTGAAATGACTGAATGATTATATCGTGTTGAAATGACTAAATGATTGTATCCTGTTGAAATGACTGAATGATTGTATCCTGTTGAAATGACTGAATGATTATATCCTGTTGAAATGACTGAATGATTATATCGTGCTGAAATGACTGAATGATTATATCCTGTTGGAATAACTGAAGGATTGTATCGTGTTGAATTGACTGAATGGTTGTATCGTGTTGAATTGACTGAATTATTGTATCCTATTGAAATGACTGAATGATTATATCCTGTTGAAATGACTGAAGGATTGTATCGTGTTAGAATGACTGATAGATTGTGTCCTGTTGAAACAATTGAATAATTATATCCTGTTGAAATGAATGAATGAGTGTATCCTGTTGAATGGCTGAATGATTGTATCCTGTTGGAATAACTGAAGGATTGTATCCTGTTGAAATGACTGAATGATTATATTCTGTTGAAATGAATGAATGAGTGTATCCTATTGCAATGACTCAATGTCCTGTCCTGTTGAAATGGTTGCATGATTTTATCCTGTTGAAGCGACTGAATGGGTGTCTCCTGTTGAAATGACTGAATGATTGTATCGTGTTGAAATGGTTGCATGGTTATATCCTGTTGAAAGGACTGAATGATTGTTTCCTGTTGAAATGACTGAATGATTGTATCGTGTTGAAATGGTTGCATGATAATATCCTGTTGAAACGACTGAATGATTATATCCTGTTGAAATGACTGAATGATTATATCCTGTTGAAATGACTGAATGATTATGCACTGCTGACGTGACTGAATGATTATATATGTAGCACTGAAATGACTATATGATTATAGATAATTACCAACTTCGAACTTCATAGGGTTGATATCAACTGCAATAATACGTTTTGCCTTTGCCGCCCTGCAGCCCATCAATGTTGCAAGACCAATGGCTCCTAGACCCCAAACAGCGCAGACTGACCCCTCCTCTACCTTAAAGATTAATCGTACGTGTGTACATGTTAGGTAAACAAAATGCTTGAAAAATACGGATTTTAATGGTATCACTGGGGAACGGGACACCATATAATATCTATCAACAAAATGATGCTGACGTTGAAATTACAACGTCGTTTCTATAACATACATATCTGCCATACATTCTGACTCAATTAGAGCCAAAATAGCTAGTGGCTGTTTAAATTACTTTGTTATGCAGATGTTTTTCATGTTTTTACAAAAATGAATTTTTAACTGCAAACATATCTTTATAACTACAATAGCTTGCCAGTCGGTTTTAAGATTTATCATTATAACAAAAAAAATGCTGTTTAAAACTAACACATCTGTCTTTATCATTTAAACGAGAAAATCTATCACGTACGTAGAATTAATGTAAGCATATTTAAAACATATCTCATTATAAAAAAAACCCACTCACAACCAAAATTCCCCTCACTGGCGGATGCATGACTTGTTATAGAACGGTTCAATTTATTTTGATGCGAAAAAGTAAATCCTATGTTTGGCTTAACTTTTTTTCCAGACACTATAAGGTTTCAAATGTTTTATTTTAGCATGACATAGTCTCTTACTGAAGATCTCCCATAGGAAGATTTTTAAAACTCTTTTGTTTATTTGCCAAATGATCGATACGCAAACTCTTTTTTTTTTCGAAAAAAGAAAACAGAAGAAGAAAAAATAATCAAAAATATGCAATTTCATGAAAGGGTTGTCAGCGATTCTTATTCATCACATTTCTAATCGAAGCATTCCGAATAACCGTATGTCAGTACGAAATTTTTCGATTCCTATCCGAATGACCCATTTATTCATTTTCCCCCTATTCAGCTTATTATGGTATTTTTATAATACTTTACCCTGGCTGTGTTGACAGCCGCTCCAAACCCGGTTGAAATTCCACACCCAATCAGACAAACTTTATCTAGAGGGGCTGCGGGGTCAATCTGCAAAGAGGGAAAATTTAATCATGTTGTCGTGAGTTAACAAAAAATGTCTATGCATGTCTGTGCACCAAATAAAATAGTTCAAATTAGAATGGCAAGGCGTTTTAATAAATTGACGAAATTATCTTGATAGGAAGTGTTTTTTTTTATTAATTTATTTTTATTTTGTGTTTAGTGATTAAATGCAAATTTTTCAAATACAATTTAGAAACCGACTCTGCATAAGACACCAATTTGTTTTCATTGGATAATTTATGAATTGCATTAGTGCCTTAATAAGCAAAACAAGTTTGAATGATGAACTTCTGCAAAATAATGAAAAAATGGTTAAAAGTATCAATTTTCTATTTCAAAAATCATGAAACCTTGGTGGCGTAACAGGAAGAATTAAAGAAATCACATACCTTGGACAATGAGGCGACAGGCACTACTGTATATTCACTAAATGTGCTACAGCCGAGGAAATGATACACCGGTTTACCCCTGCACGTGAATCTCGTGGTTCCGTCCGGCATTTCTCCTCGTGCCTGGGAGTCTCTGAAAATTATATACATGTATGAGAGCACGCTTTCTAAAAGTTTATTTGAATATGGACAAAAGGCGATGCTACTTTAAAACGTCCCTTCATGAAAGATTAATGAATTAGCGTATTCAGAGTTAGGTTCTTGTAAAATTTAAAACGTGTTTCATAACACATTGCAAGCAGAATAAAAGAATAAAAATCTTGCACTAAAAACTTTGGTAAATAATGTCTGCAGGAAGTCATTAGAATTCTAGCAGCGATAAAACAAGATGACATTGACCACCGTCATGGTCCATGACCATGGATTTTTCATGGTCAGTAGACTGAGAAACATTTTAAACATTCTTACATTTGATCATAGACAATTTCAAATAAAAAATGTAATTATAAAGATCAAAAAGCGGGAAAATAATCATATCTTATGCCTCAAAATAACAAATAGATAGTGTATTCGACCTTGGTAATAATGATGTTTTGTACTTAAGTTAGCGCTGTAGGAGCCCATTTGTCTCGGAGCACATTTGTCTTACGTAAGACCGATGCGGTCGCATTTGTCCCACATGAGACAAATGGAACCTCAAATGTCTACCAAGGAAAACAATTTTGTGTGACAAATTGTGCTCCGATCAAGTTTTTAGGGGCAAGAAAGCACATTTGTCTCATGCTTTTTAAGGGACAAGAAAGCACATTTGTATCATGTCATTTTTTATGACTTATTTGTAATATATTTTCCCACGGCAGAATTTTTAACGGTTCGCCGTTTTACCTCATGTCAAGTGTAATCATCAATAGGTTTGCTAATGCCTTTTTTTTATAAAACCTAAAAACTAAAGTCAGCTATTTATTCTAATATCTCTTATTCAAGAAATTTGATTGGTTGAACCTGAAGGCGTACACTGAAACATACGGAGTCCCGTTCACGTACCCGATTGTACAATGGTGAAAGCGCGATATCGCGATGGTACGATGGTAAAAACACGATGGTACGAATGTGAAACAACGATGGTACGATGGTGAAATAACGAAGTCACAATGATGAAAACGTTATGTTACGATGGGGAAAACACGATGTAACAATGGTGGAAATACGATGGTACGATAATGAAACTGCGATGGCATGATGATGAAAACGCGATATTATTTTCACCATTGTGTCATCACATCATCGTGGTAAATCCGGTAAAACATGAAATGGAGGCACGATATTATACCGTGAAATATCGTGGTACGGGATACTTCGACATTGCGAGATCTCGTGTTACAATATCGGTCCTCGCTTCGTATCTCGTCGGAATGTCGCGTCTGATTATTATGGCATTACCCGGATTCATTTAGGAACTCATGGACGTTGTAAGTTCTTTTTTAATGGTTGATCTGAAAGCAGCAATTCTCGGAAAATGTTGATTTTTTTCTAAATATACATTCTGATGAACACAAAATACGTGTAGGATGGTCTTCTTATTTTCTTCCTTAGATCATTTAGTGGCCCTCAATGGTCGAGTTATTTAAAAAAAAATACTTGTCCATAACCGCTGTGGGTTCGACACTCACTCAGGGCGCCTAACTATACATGCGAGGAAGCCCGTCCAGGGTCCAAATGCGGAATACATATCCGCGTGCGCAAGTAAAAGCTATCGCGTGCGCAAGCAATTACCATCCCTTTAGAACGTATAAGCTATCGCCTGCGTACGTTATAGTATCGCGTGGCCACGTAATAGCTATCGCGTGCGCACGTAATAAATAAGTAAGAAAATCCTATGTCCCCTTTATGCCACCGTAGATACTACCTTGTTGTTGCTTAGAATATATCTTAAATCATTTATAAAACTTTAAGCATCGGAAAAAAACGTGTCACAATTAATAACGATAAGAATGGACTTGCTGCATATGTGTTGGGGTTCTGAATCGTGTACTGGTAGAAACTTTCACTTGACATGCAGAACAGGGATATTCCTTAAGTTAATATATGACTCAGGAAGTTTTCGATTGACCGGAAGTGACATAAAGACGGTATTACAGAAAATACAGAAAACCCAGAACAATTTTTATATCTACCTTTTCGGACAATTACAATGTACTAAGCAGAAACAGTTTTCTTTTTAAGTAGAATTTTATGGAAGAGTGTGAGACAAATGTGCTTCGAGTGTCCTTTCTATTGTGTGTCGAACACATTCGTCTAATTTCCAATTCGTCGCAAATATGAATGTTTACGAGCACATCGGTCACACCTCGTGAGACAAATGTGTTCCGAGACAAATGTGCTCCTACATAGCGCTAAAGTTCAAAACCTACATTTGCATTTAATTGATACAAAACATGTTGTTTTTGCAAGCGTTTTAAAATGTTCAAATAAACGATATATCTTCATTGTGCACTGTGCCAAATCGGTTATTTTGAACATCGTCTTTTTGATCTATCTTGTAATAAAATAAACGTGATATATATATATAGAAAATGTCTATAGTGTAAATTGTATACAGTGATAACGCAAGAAAAGACGACGCTTGAATTTTATGCACGAATTCATTTTCATAAATCATGATTAACAGGTTTTACTTTTTTGTGATATGAATTTGACAGATACAATATTTGAATTTCAGAAATGATCTTACTTAAGCTGACTTATTTTACATAATTTCATATTAGTCGGCAAATGATAACTTTGTCATATTTTCGAGTATTTAAGCTTTTGCAACCGCAATATCGCAAACGAGAAAATATGTCAAATTAATAACGAAAATTCGCAAAAAGGTGGTTTGATCGTGTTTTTGTGACGAAAACCAATCATCATTATTACCATATAGATCTACCAAGGTAATAACAAAAGATAAAAAAACACACTTTAGAATATACAAATAAGCAATAAAAACAAAACACACGCACGTAAGTAATGAATAAGTTTTAATATCTTAAAACTTAATCGCATTACCTGTTAGTGTCGCAGAGATTCGTATCCTCTCTTTTACAAAATTGACAGGTCTGACAATTTGGTTGGAAGAGCGGAATAACGTGATCTCCTGGAAAGTAAAATGATTACTAAGTAGGGACGCTGTTTTTTTCTTCTTTTTTTTTCTTTTTTTTTTTTCGTTTTTTTATGTAACATAATAGCATGAATTGAAATATTGTATATTTCAGAAGATGGCGATAGACCAATATTTGATTCTAATATATATATGTCTAAAATTTAAAAAGACTGCCCCAGTCTTTCAATAAAGTGAACATAACAGGTATTTTCCAATAGATATTTACAGAAATTTCCTTGGGGAACGAGAGTTGTTTATTGTTCATGCTAGTAAATTATAAAATCATAAAATTGTAAGGAATTATGGCAAAATATAAACTTATGTTGTCTTTCACCTGTTGACTTACTATATTAGTCCAGTCAATTTGTAATAAAATATGCTAAAATACTTCAGAAAATGGGAAAAGCATGAAACTTGACACAGATGTTAATAAAGGCAAAAGAAGCCTTTTGGGCATATATCTATATTCTTTGGATGAGCATAATGTCAGTTTATTAGGAAAAATAAGTTTGTGTTTACGCCGATAGGCAGATGACACAGGTTTTAACTGATTGATGAATATATGAACTTTTACCAGACACTGTTACATGATTAATTATAAAAAAAAGAATACCGTCAGTTTTACATCTAATTGTCTTGTCAAACAATTGAACATAACATTTTATCTTGCTTTGAATAAAAGTTTAATCCTTTTAAGAAAATATTTTTTTATAACCTGGCTTAAAGTCGGTAACTCCTTCACCGACACTTTCAACTATCCCGGCCCCCTCATGCCCAAGAATCATCGGCCATTGCATCCGATCGTCCCAGCATTTTCCCTCCATAATCCACAAGTCCGAATGACAGGCTCCATTGGCAACCACCTATAAATCAATCAATCAATCAATTAATCAATCAACCAATCAATCAATCAATCAATCAATCAATCAATTAATAAAAAAATGCACATTCATGAATATTCGTTGGCGGGATTGTCGACTACATGAACTTATACCACGCACATGAACAATGTACAATAAATCATTTGCAGCAAAGTGTTCTAAATTGAAATCTTCAGAAAAATAGAATAAAAATAATAAAACAATAAAACTCCACTTACTTTAAACCTGACTTCTCCGGCTTTAGGTGGAGCGACCTCTACCGTCTCTATGCCAAGAGGTTTCTTTGGTTCCCAGGCAACAGCGGCCCGACACGTGATAGTCTGATTACAAGAAAAAAAGGTTGTTTTTTTTGTCGATAATCAAAAGTTAAACGTCTCCGCTCACTTTGCGTCACATGTTAACGCTGTTCGACGTCAGCGTCATCATGTTGGACGTGTCACTACTAGCTTGTCTTTGACTTGCCGTATACTTTGGTCATATCAAGAAGAGAATATCAGATTGTTTATTTCTAAATTTTAGTCCATATATTAATCTATCAGATCCAGTATGATGTTTCCCCCAACTTTTAAACTTTAATGCGTATTATTTTTCTGATTATTTAAAAAGAAAAAACTAATATTTTCAAATCTTAGTAACTGACTTAAAACAAAATATCTTAACAGTAACACATGTAGTTTAAAACAATTAAAATACATTTGATTCTATTATTGAGAATACTTCAATTTAACAAAAAATACTAAAAATAAAAAGTAAAAAAGGTAAATAATAGAGTAATTAAGAAACACTTGAAATAAAATCGTTTGAAATAAAATAGAAAAATAAATTATCACCTAATTAATTATTCTCGCATATTCTATAAAAACACTTAATTTATAATCCAACCAGAGAAAAATAATTATAAAATTGTAAAAAAAAGTTAAAAGTTTAATATTCTAAAGACCTACCTTCCCTGCGGTAGCCATATTCTAAACTAGATGTTACACCTGAATCTTGTGTGTATTTTTAAAGATAAACCCAAGAGGGCAAGACAAAATAAACAATTTTGCTTTTTTTCCCAACTGAAACTAGGTTGAAACCTTGAACTGTCTCGCGCTCATAAGACTCATTCTATCATGAAACATTCAAAAGTTACTGCATAATTAAAGCAGTTTATCTCGTCGGTAATAACTCGTATATCTACCCAAACTAACCTCTTCCCGAGGCTAAAATGCGAAAGGATGACAAAAAAGAGCGACAATACGACGCATAAAGTGCATCGTGTTTTTGCATTACATGTCTAATCTTTGCTTTTTAGGAAGAAATTGACACGAAGTCAATCTATGTCGAGTAAACGCTTTTTCGCCTTTTTGCATTTTCGCCTTTTTGTATTGTTGCATCTTTTGCATAGTTGCAATTTCGCTTTTTCAGATTGTCGCATTTTCGCTTATTCGCATTGTTGCATTGTCGCATTTTCGTTATGTTGCACTTTCACTGTGTTGTATTGTCTCATTTTTTGCGTTACGGTTGTACAAGCGCAAGCACTATGGTGGCTGATTTGGAACACTTTTGTGCGTCGTGTTGTCGCGAGCTAGCGACAGCACGAAAAGCGCCATACGGCGCAGCGCGGTACTATCGTCTTGTCATCATGTCGAAAATGAAGCACTACAAACGGAGCATTGTCGTGCGGCGTGTTGACGCGATGCTACATTGTCGCTTGACTCAAATCGAACGATTGGCTATTTGTATTTATAAAAACCAAGCGACAGGGCGACATTGCGACAACGCTCCGCATAACAACGCGCCGTTTGGCATGTTTCGCTCGTGACAACACGACAAGTAGAAAAGGCCATAACAATATAGGTTGTGTTGTCGCTATCGACAACGCAACGGGCAAAGTGTAAAAAATCAACCGCCATAAATCACAGATCAAGTCTGTTATTCAAACTACATGTATTGCATTTCAGTAATGAACCAACGTTCTTTGTTATCTTTAACCACATTTTTTCCATGAACTTAAATAAACGGCATGGCAGCTACTATACCCTCACCCTTACCAAAATTCCTAAAAACCAGCGACTATCTAAGACGTGCAGATTTGTGGCCCCGCACAGATTGCAAATAAAATAATGTATGCTTTTCGTTCGCGCAATGCAACCAGGAGAATCCTAGTTACCTTATCAAAACTTGAGCATAAGGTTCAATTTATCAAGATCGAGGGATCAAAAACATATTAATACAGAAAAAAGTACACGAGTAGTACATTATTGCACTAGAAATTGACATAAAGGACTTAAATACCGTGCATTTATACGTAAAGATACATATTATAGTTTAGATGCATATTGTTAGGAACGGTTTTTAGTACTGCAAAGTTTACTCTGTTAAAGTCATAGCTTACCAAGTTGTTGTTCTCTCACCAATTTGCGCTATGCATGCATTTTAGGCTGAATTTTTATTTTGTGAGACAAACCATAAATGACACCTGTAAGTATGGGAATGACACCCTACCATTTTGGTTTCAGTTACCAAACTTATTGTAAAGTATTGCTTCATCTTTTATTAGCGTACTTTATATGGGATAGTAAACAACTTTTTTAGTAACAGTACCTTATACATAGCCTGTCATCGACACTTCTGATTTTTTGTTTAATATCTGGGACAAATAAAGACAGTTTTGTTTGTTTATTTTGTTGCGTTTAGAGCATGCTCTAACCCTTACCCTGTTGAAACAAAAGTTATTGTTGGTTAAATATATATATATATACTACTCAACTTTTGCTAAGCACCATTTGTTTGAATGTGAATGTTTTTTTTTTTTTCGGATAGTTTTATATCGATCTTCTATTTTATCAATTCAGCTGACCTATAAATGAGTTTTACACTGATTTCTGTGCTAGAGAAAATGTTGACTCCTCTCTTTGAATAGTTCAGAACATGCAGCGTGTTTTCCAAATTTTTTAAATTGTTGTTTTGTTGTTGTTATTTTTTTTTTAAGTTTTCAGTTTCAGACTTAATACAGTGTGTGTGACCCATGACTATCAATGACAGCTAGGCAGCGCCTTCTCATATTCCCTATTAGGTTTCTGATCGTTCTAACGGATATAGCTGCCCATTCTTAAACCAACATGGCTCCAAGTTCCTGTATGGTTCTGGGTTGCAGCTGACGATCTAAAATTCTAACCTGCTCATTCCACATTTGTTTTATTGGATTTAAGTCAGGTAAGCAAGCCTTCTAGGTAGTCCTGGAACACCCTGGTCCTATGGGGTGAGCATTATTGTTCGTTAGAATGAACTGATCGCCGACTGCTTCAGACTACAACCTAACCAGGATACCTCCCCACACCATAACAGACCCATTGACCCGTGGCGGTCATGCTCTGCAATAGTTGCAGTCTGAGACCGTTCACTTCGTCTTCTCCAGACTCTAGCACGCTTATCTGTGTGAAGTCTAGAGAGAACCTGGACTCATCATCGAACAGAACGTGTCTCCAGTGTTGCATGGTCCATCGTGTATGCTCCTTCAAAGGGTTACGTATGCAAGGTCTTCTCGACCGCAAATTACCTTCATGCAGCCTTCTATGTACCTTCTGCGTGGAAACACGGACCTCGCAGCATTAGCAAGGTCATTTCGACCAATAAACCGATCCTGTGCTGGTGTTGTGACCCTTTGCTGACCTTCAGCGTGCCTCCTGGCGGGTATACCATGTAGCCGGTATCTAGTAATGATGGTGTAGTGTACACCAAGCGCCGCACCAACCTGGCGGAAGGTGACCCCCTGCTGCACCATCCCTACAGCCCTTCATTAGTCTGCTTCTCTCAAATGCCGCCTTATTAGCATAATTCGCCATATCGAAGTAACAGATGTAAGAAATGTAAGCCACTGAATAACAATAAGACGGTATTGTCGCCGTATAACAGAAGACATGTGATTGTACACCCCATCAAACACATGAAAATATTGAGGTGCATGCTTTCCATGATACCTATAGACGAGTTGTAACGGATAAGTCAACACGGATCATGTCAGAGGACTATGACAAAACATTGCTGAATCAGAAATTTAAAAAATGGAAAGAAATCTGTTTTATACTTGTTTGTTTGTTTTGTTTCATTTTAAGCCTTTTCTCAATAACATTTCAGTAATATAGGCGGGTAGTTTCCAAACCATCAATCCTGGAGAGTTACACCAGTACTAGACTACCTTCCTCCGTGCTAAACTACCAAAGCATCTCTCGGGGATCGAACCCACGCCATACTTGTGATAATATATAAATTATAACATTATATCTTAAGAATATCCATTAAACGTTTGATACTTCCTTGAATGAAATTGTACATTATACACTGTTCAGTAGCATATGAAACTAAGCCGCTCTCGAGAATTTGTTTTCTAAAACATTTATATCTCCTAAAATCCTTGTAAACATATCTAAACCTTCTATCAACTAAAAAACCCACTTTTCGACATACTAAGATTGAGTCTACAATTTGTAACAGTTTACTTATTTGTATTAAAACATGTTGAAACATGTAAACCAGGTGCTATAAAGACAATATATAGATAGTTTACACTGGAAAGACCCCTGATTTTCTTGGCAATCTTATTCTTTTTGAAAACAGGAAAATATTCACGAATGTACGCTCATAATCCTATCGAAATGCTGCACCCAATTGAACAAACTTCATGTAGATGGTCTGCGGGGTCAATCCAAAAAGAAGATGATTATATACATTATCATATTTTTGGGAGGAACCTTAACATTTCCTTACATCAAATACATATGAGCCGCGCCATGACAAAACCAACAAAATACGTTTGGGACCAGCATGGATCCAGACCAGTCTGTACATCCGCGCAGTCTGCTTACAAACCCTATTACAAGTAGAGAAACTGATAGCGAACAGCATGGATCCTGATCAGACTGCGCGAACGCACAGGCTGGTCTGGATCTATGCTGGTCGCAAACTCATTACCTTGGTTTTGTCATGGCGCAGCTCATATGTTTCTACGTTATGTGACACACTGACTACTCTCGTGCAATTGGAGCACATTTCACACTGACCTATTTTTCTTTTAGCTTGATCCAATTGAATCTTCATTTATTATTATCAATAACACCTAAATTCCAAATAAATTAAGTAATAAAGAAAGAGCATTATTTCGTTAGAAATATAGAAATATACACGTAACAAAGCATCACCGTCGGCACGAGTTTGTGACGAGTATCAATCTGGACAAATTATTCTGGAAGAAATGTTTACGTTACATTTACATTTCAAGGATATCTAATGTTTTTTGGGTGTATTTTTTTCGTTTTTTTTTTATTTGTTTATATTATATCTTTAACCGTATCTAATCCGTTGACATATAAATGGTTTATGATAATTTATGTGTTTAAAATACGTGTTATCGCTTGATAAGCCGTACAGATGATGTAGGAAGAAAACAGATAACCTATACTTCAGTTTGTTCAAGGTTAATAATTGGATAACGTGCTTGTGTTCAAGTATATATTTATAGAACATAACCATAGGAAAATGTCTTGAAACAAACCTTATTAAAAGAAATCTTTTTAAAATCATCATCATCGTTGTCGTCATCATCATCATCATCATCGTCATTATCGCCACCTACCCACCAGCAACAACAGCACAATCAAATATAATAACAAGTAGAGATTTTGATGCTAAAGCATCAAGTCGCCGGATAGAAATATGATTGTATTATCATAAATTAAAGAAAATATCAGTTTAATGGTTCGAGTATAAAGAAAAGAGGAACAATAAGTTGAGTAATGTTTATTCATAAACACGTTTTCATTTACTTGCCACAATTATATATTTCTTGCTGAGAGTTTTATGCAATAGATTTATGCTATGTTATAATAAAACATCATTTTTGAAGCAAACTTGCTTAGCAATTTTGTCAAGAAACTGTTATCATTATTTAATAAGCTAGTATTGTTTGACAATATTTACACGAGACTCAATAATTTTCGGGAGCTGTTTCGTTTGCTTACATAACTTTTTATGATTAATGTTAACGATTTTATTGTAAGTATAATTACGTGTATAATTATATCAATTGATACTGCTCGATGGCCTTGTGGTAAGTATGACGGAGTTGTAACCTACATGTACATGTAGTAGGCGCAAGTTCGAATCTCGGACAAATCCTGTAGTTTTCATAAATTGAATTTTATAATATCTTTTGACTTTATGAAACATAAGTTGATAAATCGTGTGTTTCATTTCTAGCACTTTTTTATTTCATAATTTTGATAAACGGTCAAGTTTTGCAAAATACAAAAAGTATTATAAAAGAAAACATAAAAAATCAATTTAATCAGGTATGTATATTAACGTACCTGATTTAATGAACCTATACAGTCTTCAATTTGAAACTAACTTAAAATCTAACACCTTGTCATCAAGGCTTGTAAAGCAAATAATATGATTATAATTCTACTTGTAATTCTACTTTATACATATACCGTTGTACCATACATTTGAATTCCGTATGGTTTTCTGAGCATCCGATAATTGCCGACAAATTATTACCGATCATCGAATATTTGCAAAGTGACTATGAAAATATATATGCTTAATTATTGCATAAAACAATGCAATTCTACTGTAAAAGTGGTGTCTGCATAAAAAAATATTATTATGCACTATCGAAAAAAATATATTATTTGGCTGAAATCAATATTCCTGTCGTTACATACGATATAGTTAACGTTTAATTGCCTTTCAGTGGGATAAACTATCACTGGTTTATTAGTTTTCTCTTTGTATCCAATACGAATCCGGCCCCTACTGTTATACCGAGATTTTTCATACAAAATTACTTTGATTTGCACTTTATCAGCTAGTTACCTGTATGTCTATCTTATCAGCCATTTGTTACTATTAATAGATTTTATAACAATAACATACAACGTGTAGTCACGTGATTCTGGGAGAAACTGTTTATAATAAATAAGATAAAAAAAATAGAATAGGCCTCAAAAGATACAAACAACCAGATAATTTAAAAGTGTCATTTTAAATATCATGCATGATTTATTCATCATAAAATAGCAACGCTTGACACTTTAAAAAAGTAAAAGCATCCCTAAATTCAATGACTGGTCCATAGGGATACGTCGTTAATTCATTTTATAAAAATTGTAATGTTGCTTTTTACGATGTCAATATTTGAATATTTCATTTCATTGAGCAACGTTATTGTATGTTTGAATTTTTGAGATTACTGAAAACAATTGTAGTCTTTAATTGTTCAGTAATTATAATGCTTTTATTTACAGAAAGTAATGCCTTCTCTTACCATAGGTATAATATTAAACTGTTACAAATATAGTCGCCAGTTTCTACCGGCGACTAATAATAGTGCTTCAAAACAACTTCATAATAAATAATAATCTTGGCATCAAATCTGACATGTCAAATCATTGTCATTTTGTCTTTTGATGTTATAAAGCGATGTCGTCATATGCCATGTTAAGGTAAAGTGTATCAGGTACTTGGTGTACGATAACGTTATGTAGTTTAACCTAAATACGGTGTAGTGTTGGAGACATTTAACTTAAAAATGGGAGAGGGGCGGGGCGTCAAACAGTGGGACTATCCTACGAGACTTGGTAGATCCAGGTCCCTTGTAATGGTGCATAACACCTTGCAGTCGTTTCTCAAAAATAAAGTAATTTCCATATCCCATTGCACTAGACTTAAAAAGGATAATAAATCAATAATATAAAATAAAAATTACTAACAGTCGTTTGGAGTTAGTCGACAATATAGTGGTTCCGACTGAGACTGTAATTCGCCATTTACCGTCAAGAATGAACAATAAATACGTCTCTGTCAATTTTGCTGGTCATGCTTACCAAACAGTGAATGATTTCAGCAGTTCTGAGGTGATGGGACTTTTGAGGAAGAAGAACTCGATGTTGTGATACACGATGACGCGGATGTCACAGAACCCGTGGACGTTACAATACATTTTTTGAGAACATGTACCATGTTTATTAAAATCTGGTCAGAAGCCATTTATATATACATGTACATATTGTTTCAAACAACAGTTATAATAGCAAAATAATTAAGATATTTGACATTTCAATGAAACTATGTGTTACTATATCAAGAGAGGCTTGACTTTCGCGATCTTTAATGATGACAAGTTTACGATATTCTATAAATAAGGTATGAGGTTATAATGTATGCTTCCAGATAACTTCCAACATTACTTAAACATGCACTTAAGTTCAGTTATCTCCCTTGCATAGTCATATAGATTCGTTGTGATGGTTGTTTTCATATCATACGGGAGAGGTAACTCAGGACTTTGTGTGTAGATAAAGACACTTGAAATAGAAACAATAACATTTATTTCATTTATGGACATTTGCATGTGTATATCCCTTATTTCAATACCGAGAACATATTGAAAATATTCAGCATATGGGTGGAAGCAATATATTTGGTAAAATCCCAAGAATTATTCTCATATTTTATACAAATAAACATGTTTAATAGATATGAAAACACTCATTGTGAATAAAAATCTGTTTATACATAAAACTGATAAAACAAACAAATTGCATTAAACAAAATAACGTTCAAGAAAAAGGTTCAAGTCCTTAGTATGCTTCATGGTGGCTGCAACAGTTCCGTCAAAATTTGATCACTGATCTAATCCTAGAAAGAGAAAAAGAAAGAAAAAACATGTAGTTATCAAATATATAAAGAAAGCATGTGCTAATTCATTTCTATTCAATTTGATTTTCTATAAAATATATTGGTTGATTTACCACCTTGGGGCTCGTGATGGCCATAGAATACAATTCTGCCTTGCTTGTGAACAATTCTTTTTTAGTTTTACATTATAAACATATACACGGTGATCTGTGGTCCTCGTGACCGCACAGAATATATACCTGCCTTACTTTTGCAAAATTCCTGCGTTGTTTCAAACTCCTGCGTTACTGAATATACAAATACACGGTGACCTGCTATTCATTTAAAAAGCAGTAGTCTAAAGCGTTCTATAGTTATTATTTGGACTACTTTTAGTAAATACCACAGTTACTTTGGCCTTTGACTGACCTCAAAGTTAATACGGTTGATCTAATAGTTAATAAAAATCTTAGGGATGTAGGCCAAATCGTTCTCTATTGTTTTTGGTCGGAAACGGAGAGTTTTACAGACCGATGGGCATATAGGCCGGCAGACGCTTTGCAAAGCAATATACCCAAATACTCAAACTTCTTCGAAAAAGTTATAAATTTGTATAAACTTATAAATATATAATATGCATTGTAACAAAAATTCGGACGTACAGACGGACAAACGCTGATCTACACTACGGTATATGTTACGATGACTAAAGCTAACTCTACAGAAACCTTTACCGTGCCTTTATGTTTCAGGATAGAAATAATTGACCTTACCCTTTTCCGCCACGCAAAAGGTCAAATGCATCATTGACACCATCTAGGTCAATCATCTTTGATATAAACTCGTCTACCATTAATTCATTCTTCATGTACAAATCTACCAATTTCGGCACGCCTTCTTTGCTTTTCCAGCCTGTTAGACAATGAAAATCATATAACTCCTATTACAATATACATGTAGATCATATCTCAATGACATGAGTATTTTGGTTTTATTGGATTCAAACAACAATGGCCTTTTTAATGCCATATGACAATTTTTGGAGAAAGACTTCATCCGATACGAGCAGAGACCGGGTCAGAACCACCCTGTTTTCACAACATATAGCTATAGATAGGTTCATCACATGAAAAGAGTCCTAATTATCTGACAAGATTCGAGCCAAAGCGACAAGGCGCGTTAGATTCCAGTTTAGCGGCATTAACTTAGGAGACACTAGAGGGTTTGTTCGAATTTCTAGCAGGGAAAATATAAGGAATTAAAATGCACGTATGAATATATTATACCTCCAAAAACCGTTCCAGTCATTGTTCTGCCGACATTGAATGCTAGAGGAGATATTGAAACCTCCTGACCAGCCGGTACAACTCCTACAACAATTGTCTTACCCCACCCCTCTCTGCAACTATAGAATGCCGATCGCTGTAACATACAATAATAGAAAAACGTGTTATAAAGATCTTAGCAAAGGTGATGGTGTTATAACTAGTTACATGCTTGATATTTTCTTGTATATCTTTAATGCCAACAATTTCTTATGATCACTCTGAAAAGATATACTTTCCCTTATAGACTGTGGCAAATTATTTAAATCAAGTTATACAACTTTCGATTTTCATTTCTGATAAATTACGTGGCCGTTATCTTCTGCTCCGTTAGATGATTAAATCGACATACCTTAGAGTCTGTCAGAATTGAAGATGATATCATTAGGAAATAATGTGTGTACACTTTGTGGCAAAGCCTAACATGTAAAAATAAAGTGTCAAATATTTGACCCTTTGTGTCCTTTTGACGAAACTGAATAATTCCAATATTGGAATTAGTTCAGTGCCAACACAGCATATAAGATCCTAAAGTAAAACCATACCTCTATAAAAAGTAAGTAAGAAAATATCAAAATGTAATCAGCATTAACTTACGATTGTTGAAACTAGCCCGATACATTCAAATGTAAAATCACAACCTCCCATTGTTTTCATACCAATCACAGCTTCTATTGGCTTATCGTGATCCGATGGGTTAATAAATTCTGTAGCACCAAATTGTTTAGCTGAAACAACAAAAAACGTTTTATATCATATTAAAATTTAGTTAAAAACAAATATGAAGCAAATCACAGCTTATGAATATGCTATAGTTGATTATAATAATTAACGTAAGTGTATCTTGTCGTCAAAAAAAAAAAAAAAAAAAAAAAAAAAGATTCCAATATAATTTTCTTTAATTTTGTATGTGGTTGCCTTTAAATTTTTTTTTTTTTCAATACGTGTATCACAATGCTAAATAAAGTCGCCAACATTTATATACTATATTAGTTATTAGTTATAATTTATTAAGTTTATACAGAATTAATATAGTTTGATTGTATAAAAAGCTCTAAGCTTATAGACACACCATCTTATCTATTCGTGCAACCAATCAGTACTAATCAAGTTTTTTACTCAAGGATACAACGTTTGCCCCTGGCGGGGTTTGAACCCACGCGGCTAGAGATCGTATGATTATTAGTCAAATATATTTGGTATAGTAATGAGAAGTATACCAAGTTCTTCTTTTTCAGGGTTTAAATCTACAGCAATAATACGTTTAGCGCCAGCCGCTTTACAACCCATCACAGTGGCCAGACCAACTGCGCCCAAACCCCACACTGCACATGTTGAACCTTCGTCCACCTGTTTTAAATCCAAACAGATACATTGCGATAATACTAATCATATAGATTTGAGGTGAGAATAAAGGAAATACAACAAAAATTGGAATGATAATATAGTTCATAAATTAATGAATGAGGAGATCTTTTCAGTTATCAACTTCGTTAGTCGCAAAAATCTTTTACAAAGTACATGTGCTTCGTAATAAAAATGGCATTTAGTTACCGTACTACCGTAAACTTGTTTCGTGTAAGTGCCCTAGAATTTATTGACATTTTTACAGACATCATCTTTATTTTATTTTAATTTCGAAGCACATAATATGCTCCAATAACTAACCTTGGTTGTCGTAGCATTATTTAATTTCAAATTATTCATTTGAAGTCTCTTATTTTTTCGTTTCAATAACTGACTTGATTGAGTTAATATATCATTCCAAGTCCGTAATATGTTTCAATAACTTAAGTCCTGTACAAACCTTAGCAGTGTTAAGAGCGGCGCCATAACCCGTTGATATACCACAACCAATGAGACATACTTTCTCTAAAGGTGCAGCAGGGTCAATCTGGAAATAAAATGTTAAACTTACTGGTTTATGTATGTGTTCTTTCAGATATGTAGAAAACGACCACATCTTATTATAATGTAAATTAAAGATTATATTTAAAAAACAATTTCAAGCAAATAAAAATTTCTCTCGATAAAGATCTACTGACAAAGTTACTGAAGCCGATCAAGATAAACAAAGTTTCCAATGTTACTGTTCGCCAGTCTTAAATTATATTAAATATTTTATTTGTTTATATTTTATTTTTATGTTTTCTGCATGGATATAGGTAAACCAACAAAAGTTGTTTCCACTTTGAGTTGTAAACATTCAGTGATCTTATATGATATACAATGAGCGACATCTGATAATATGAGGTTATTAAACATTTTTATACAAAATACTGAATTCTATTGGACGACTAAACAGCTGTCAAACTATATTGGACGAGGCACAAGCCGAGTCTGATATAGGTTTTACAGCTGTGTACGAGTCCAATAGAATCGGTATTGTTCTTAACAATATAAATATATTAGAGTGACAGATATACAAAGATTAATATATGATATACAGGGAGTGACATTATATACAAGTATTGATATATGGTATAAAGGGGGGACATGATATACCCAGAGTGATATATGATATACAAGGAGTGACATGATATAAACAGAGTGCTATGTGATATACAATGATAAACACAGCGCGAAATATGATATACAGTGAGTGACATTATATATCTATATAGCAGTATATTATGATAAATATAGTCATTGGCTTATACATGTATCATAGAAGTGACGATTTACCTTGCAAAGTGAAATATCTGCAACCACAGTATATTCACTGAATGTACTCGTGCCCATAAAATGATGTACAGGCTGGCCTTTGCACGTAAATCTTGTGGTGTTATCCGGCATTACACCAATCGCTATAGTTTGTCTGAAAATAAGAGTATTTGATTGGTCAAATTGGATTAAATTTCTGCCTCTCTTCATCATTAATACAGTTTCTATGACATAATAACAAAAAAGTTTTTTTTTTTTGGTTTTGAATATCCTAAATATACATGAATAAAAACAATAAAAAGTTAAATTGTTAAAATACGTACCTTATCTTGTTACATATATTTGTCTTTGTACTTTTACAGTTATCACATTCATTACACTGTGGCTGGTACAAGGGAATCACGTGGTCACCTACGTCAAAATAAAAGCAGAAGTTATTTACTATTACAACTTTAAGGTAGTCACGTGCATGGTAACCTTTTGGGTAACCACAGATGTGTTTTCTTTCTAGTATATCCAAGAGAATCACTTCATCTCCTTTATAAAAAAAACAAACAATATAACAAACACTTTTCTACTGGATACCACGTGATCAAATCTTGAATTATTATGTGGACCAATAGATCTTTTTAGAAAAATTTGATTGATTGATGTGGTAAATATGATATGGTGCTTAGTTAATATGTCGACCATTCGGTTTTACTTGAAACTGAAACAGTCAATAAACCTTCTTTGTATTCTGTTACGCCTTCACCAACGCTCTCAACGATTCCAGCCCCTTCATGCCCGAGTATCATAGGCCATTTTATTCTGGGGTCCCACGACTTCCCATCTAGCACGCTCAAATCTGAGTGACAAACGCCATTTGCAATTACCTAAAATGAATCAAAATCAGCATTAAATCGTAACATTTGACATACTTTTTCAGTTTCCATGTGTTATACAATTCAGATAAGCGTTCACACGCACTAGGATTCAAAGGTCACAATCTTTTAAAATCCGTGAATAAAAAAATCATTATTTTGTATATATAAAATACTACAAGGTTTCGCAGCTGCCATGTTTTAACGCAACGGAAATGCGTTGACCGGTTTACAATTTCCAATTAAGATTAGATACGATGTGGAATTTGTAGATCATGATCAAGATCAAGCAGTTCAACGACGAGAAGTAACAAAAAGAATCTTCTTCAACTCAAAGGCAGTCGCATATGTGAGATAACGTTATTAATTTCTCAAACACATATTGGTCATAGTTCAACAGTAGCGGGATTTATTAGCAAACTGTTATCTTGGTGCAGGAAGATGTGTCAAATAAAGAAATTAAACTGAGGCCTCTACAGTTGTACTTTTGTGAAGGTTTCTTTTAATACTATATATGGTCTTGTTTTGCCTTCCATTCTTTTCATATATTCGTGGGCATGACTTGTTCTATATATGTGCAGTAATAAGATACTTTATGTCCGCTTAACACATTTATGAACAAGTCATAAAACAGTACTATTCAAACAACTCAATATGAAAGTAGTTTACTATGTTAAGTTCAAAAATCAGAACGCTGAAAATTTTCAAGGTTCGTTTACATTGTCCAAATATCATGATACTAGATTAGAGTTCAAATGATGTAAACTGTTTATAATCTTGTAAAGGATGATGACATAGCATAAGTAAATTATGTCAAGGTAAGATATTGATAAAATTTAAATATCCTGATATGCTATCGGTGATCCTCGGTTATTGTCCTAAGGGACTTGATAGTAAAACCGGCCCAGTTAATTTGATTATCCTTTAGAAGATATACCCACCAATTAAGTTGTACATCGACCAACATATTTTCGTCCCAATTAATAAATTATAAAATACACACATTTTTTTCAACAACGGAAGAGATGGCTCCTAAAATGACCTTAAAAGATCTTTTATAGTCAATCATGCATGAAGAATAAAGGGGTCTGTAAATAATGAAAAAAGTGGAATTAAACGTTCCAGTTCGGATGATTCAAAATTCAACTTTGAATACCTAATATAACATCATATGCAGAAATGCGTAACATTGTTACCTTAATTCTGACTTCCCTGGCTTTAGGTGGCGCTACTTCAATGGTTTCAATGGTAACGGGTTTCTTTGGTTCCCAGGCAACGGCTGCTCGACACACAATGGGCTGTCACAATAAGGGTTAAGAGAATATTAGAGGTTTTATGCTTTTATATAGGTAAAAAAAATTAAAACTATTTTAAGATTTCAGTTGATAACTATATACTTGCAGCAATGAAAGTTATTCCGTAGACTTGTTAGAAAAAATACGATATGTGCAGTGTAAGCCTTTCAACAATGCATCACGGAACATTTCATCGACACGGACGCATTTTAGTGAACATTTATATATATATATAACTTTACTAAATGTAATTATTAATAGATATTGCACTACTTTAAAGATAAGGGTCAGCATCTATAATGTAAAACATAAGCATATTCATGTCCTTTATTTTAAAGAACAGTTTACAAATTTGTTAGCTTTTAAATTGCATGAAATGAGGAGTAAATATTCTTTTAATAAAACCTATGCATCTTTATATTGATCACATGTAGATTCTTCAAGCAAAATCAGTGATAGGTATAATTTGTTTAGGGTCAAAATTTAGATCGTTTATGTTTTTAAGTAGAATCCACAAGTGTCGTCTTATTTTATGCAAAATTGATGCAATTCAAGAAAAACTATCTCGTTAACTGTCTGATATTAAAAATTACTTAAAATAAATAGAAGTATAACAGAGTTAACATACCTTTCCAGCAGTGGCCATGTTTTATCCTAAACTTTGATCGTTTGTTGTTGTATCTACTTATAGTGGCCGACTTTTTATCAACTTTGTGCTGTAAATTACGTGTGCTTTGTTTGCATTTAAAATAAAGTGTCGATAAATTTCGAGAACGAATGCATTACCCTTCGTGGATTATATGATCGAATACGTATTTAAAGTCAATAATTAACTTAATTAATTAATTGCCTATATTCATCAATATCTGAAAATTATAATTATGTTATTTTTTCAAACGGTAAATCTTGTAGGTTTTTAGATGAAACATGTATATATCAATAGAGCTGAAACATGTTTACATCATCACTTTTATTATACAATAAAATTGAATACAAGGAAATAAAGAATTTTGCTGTAGTAATACTAATTCTTTGAATTAGTGCCTTACTTTAAAAACCTTAAAATGCTGAATGCAGATACTCTTGCTTTTCATCCGAAGATGAAACTTCCTTCATTATATGAGCCGCGTCACGACAAAACCAACATAGTGGGTTTGCAACCAGCATGGATCCAGACCAGCCTGCGCATCCGCGCAGTCTGATCAGGATCCATGCTGTTCGCTTATCAACCCTATTACAAGTAGAGAAACTGATAGCGAACAGCATGGATCTTGATCAGACTGCGCGGATGCGCAGGCTGGTCTGGATCCATGCTGGTCGCAAACCCACTATGTTGGTTTTGTCGTGACGCGGCTCATATATAAAAAGGATGTTGCAGACGCTGCGCGTGCAGACCAGAATATTTAGCTCAATGGTAACTGTTCTCTGCGCTAAGCAGTTACCCGAGAGCTAGATATTCCCGTATGTGACGACTGTTGGTGCATCATTCTTTTCCTAGCATATTACATATAAATCATATTTTGGAAAGAAATTACGAAAAGTATTTTCATTTAGCGCTCTTTCTTAAATGACGTCATCCTAATAGCGCTATTCATTCATAAAAAATGTGATTTGTCTTGATATTTAACGAAAAAATTCTTAATTGATAATCAAATGTTTGCCATTTGCAAGTGTCGTATAAATTTTCCTGAACAGAACTAGATATATTTTTTACAGGATTTATATTATAAGTAAACTTACCATTCACTTGAAACATAGGCGGTCGGCATTATTGTTTATGATTTCTCACTCGTGCATAATTTATACCGTGCATAAGGATACGATTTAGTGGTACTCAATCGTAAAGCAATCGTGTAAATTTAAAGTAAGTACCAAAATAAAAAAAATTATAGCATAACCAGTTTTTATTCATGTTGTAAATTATGTAGCATTTTCACTCTTTGGTTTGATTTGTTTTAAGATAGTGGTTACGGTTCAACGTAAACCAATGAATGTACATGAATTTATTAAACAGTTTTAAGATGAACTTCTGGTATACATGTACAGCGTGCTTTATTCGTTACTTGATGCATGTATATAGGCTTCAATGAAAAAGAATTTAAAGTCAAAATTTTGGATTGTCAGCTTCTGCTAAGCATAGACTCTGTCTCGCGACTACGCAGATGTTTACCGCAATCGGAACTGCCTCGGCTATTATCTATAATATCATCGGAAACAATACGGATTGAAAGTAGTTCTACCAAGTGGCAGAAACAGAGATAATGTAAAACGAATGTATATATTTGACATCTAATGTCTGTTCCGGTACTCTTATGCTTGAAAATATGTCTTACATCAATTTAAATATGCCCACTGATGTTCAATTTTAAACATATCCGACCAAATGTCAACATGTTGGTTTTTTGTACTTTCGGTTTCTACAACGATAATAATAAATATATAAATAATGTATTGTTTGCTTTTGTACATATGAATTCACTTATTTTAGGTGGACTTTTACTACATATATTGGAAATAAACTTGTCAACAACCCCCAGCATTAAATTACTATTTGTTTACATGTTTAGTTTCTTAGCGTAGGTTAGACCGAAATACCGCATCCGTTCAGTGTATTCATACTATTGTGTTCGAGGTCCTTATCCGAAGACTCACGGAAAGGCCGAGTAGTTGCGATTGGTTTTACCGGGTATTTTTGACTTGGTAACAGGGTAAAACCCTTTGAAACAATCTACATTCGGCTACTTTTAATAATTTCTTTGACATTCCTTTCTGGCTGGTACTTCCAGACCAACTCACTTCCAGACATGCGTCTGTTTTTTTGTTGTTTTTTTCCCAAACATAATGCGGATTTGTATCTTCAATTCTTGAAGATCGTTCAGCACGGCATAATTGTTGAATTTGTGCAACTTTAAGTTCTTTCTCTTTTTGGTGGTTCAAGTATTCCTTACTTTACTGTAGGACTATAATCACCTAAGGGTATGTTGCCTGCTTTTTAAATTTGTCTTTTCATAGCCTTTCTATGGTATGTATGCTATATAAACTTCTTATAATTTCAATTCTATTAAGTTTCGCCAATTGTTTTCTTGTTTAGGGGACACACATTCGTTCACTACGGGACCATACTCTGCTTTTCATGGAATAGTACGAGTGTCACATTGAAGGTTCTATTATATATAATCGCCACATGAGCACATCAAAATTCAAAAATTAACCATTTCATGAATTCTGCCGGTGCTTGCGGGGGGTGGACGACAGCTTGCAGTTACCACTACCGTCCATGAACAGGGTAAATCAAACCAAGCCTGCAACATTTTTAATTTTGCCGCTTTGGACGTTCAATTAAGGATTTTTTCTCTTTTAAATGCGAAAACGACAAATGGGTATTTCAAGCTAGGGTTAATCTAACTATGTCAAAATAGTCTTAAATATGGCATTGTTTTAACGTGCATTATACAAACTATATCTTTATTTGGCACATTTTCAGACTAAAATTTTCCAGTTTGCATTGATTACACTAATATATCAACAAAAAATGCAATTAGGTTTCCAAAGACAACGTATCAAATCAAATAACATTCCATGGAAAATGTATCAATTCGTAGTTAAAGTACATGGAATTGGTCGTTTGAACTGTAACCATTCACTAGCAAAATGATAAAAGTTGTAAAGAAAAAATAACTCTCTACATGCATCTTTTTATTAACAATTTATTGGCTAGATTTTAGTAATACATAAAACAGTTGATAATTTTCATATTCCATCCCAACAACCAATATAAAACATTAGTTGTTGAGAACTTTTCTTATATTTATTACACATGTATAAATGTATATACGCCTTGGTTATAAAGTTACTTTATATTTTAAATTCTGAAAATATGTGCCATCCAAAAATTCATTTCGGTCCTACAAGTCCGAACAAGTTGATCTCACCAAAGTTTAATTATGGTCCGGATGCTGAAATACAATACAAACATGTCCATAAAATTTTATAAATTAATCTACAGCAAAACGTGCGAACGACGATTCTATAAGTTAACTTTATTACCTAATAAAATCAGTCTTGTGAAATGATTTTTTTCTCCATTTTTTAAAAAAAAATCATATACATTCTACATATAAAATATTATAAGAAAAAGAATAGGATTAAGAAAAGAATATGTTAAATAATCGACATTTGTAATTATTGTATGATTGGCTATAAGTACACACCTTAAGCAAAAAATATTCAGATAAATCAGAGAGTTGCTACATCAAAGTCGCCAAGATGCCTTAATGTTAACTTGTCCACAAAAGCACTGCCCGGCTGGGTGAAATCATATTATGTTAATGTCGAAATTTGACAAGAAATGAGAGAAAATGAAACGGACAATGCCGAAAAATATGGTGGTTGATTTGTACATGTCGAAAACACGACTAAGTAACAATTTTTTATTTTCGTATTTTCGTGTTTTCGAGCGAAAGAACAACAAAGTGGTCGTCACATTGTCGTTATTTTGAGTTTTTGCCGCGAGAGTACGACAAAGTGGTCACATTGCCGTATTTTCGCCTGGTGCCCCGCGGAGCAAAAATACAACATAGCACAAATCAAGCACCATAGATAAATGATCAAATTGACATTGAACCAAATATGTAGAACATTGCCACGGCGAAGTACCCTACCTCTTGCCTTTTATCAACATATCATAGGCCTCGTTGACTTTATCAAGTTCCATTGTGTGTGTAACAAACTCGTCCAGCATCAGTTCTCCGTTCATATATTTCTCTACAAGTTTCGGTGTTTCATCTCTACTTTTATACCCTAAAAGTTATGAGAAGTAACATGAAAATAAATATCAAAATGAATAATAAAAATACTCATATTATAAGCGAAAGGGAATAAAATCATATATCATTTGTCATAAAGATTTTGATAGGTGATAAAGCCCAGTAGAGCCCCAGTAGGTCCCCGATTGATTGAAAACGCGCGAAAATGATGGCGTTGATACATAATTTTCATTTGATATAATGTTAAATGATATTTTCTCCTATTTAATAAGTAATTCATGATGATTTTCTGATTGATCCTTATGCAAGACTGGACAGAATGGAAATGGGAGAGGGTTTAAACACAAACAAATGCAAACATCGCAAATTGCCGTGATTCTTTTAAAATGATCCGGACTTTGCCTGGGCTCTACCGGGATCAACCATAGCTCCATCGTCATCCTCCAGGCTTTTGTCGGCATTCACCAGCGCTCTGACGGCATTCAACGGCACTCTACCGGCGCTCTACCGGCTATATCATACCCGGATCATCCCGGTTTGTGCCAGCAGAACTACGGTGCTTGCCAAGTGTAACCCCGGTCGTTCCCGGCAGAGCTAAGGATGAAGCCGACAAAGCTATAACTTCCCGGAACATCCCGGACCATCCCGGTGATATTAAATATTTCATTCCATCCGGGGTCGAATGCCGAATGTTCCCGGATCAACCCGGACAATTCCGGCAGAGTTAGGGATGTACACCGGTTGTTCCCTGTCGTATCACGGCGACATCTACCGGGAGACTACAGGGGCTCTACCGGATATCAGTGAGACTTCAGCTTAAAGGAAACATTGTTAATCAGAGATTGTACCTCCGAAAGATGTTCCTTTCCAGATTCTTCCACCTGCTGATATGAAATAAGGCTGGACTGACACCTTCTGTGTAGCAGCGACCACGCCTACAAGTGTAGCCACGCCCCATCCCTCGTGACAACTGTACAAGGCTGATTCCTATATTAAAATTGTCAAACATTTCTTCACATAAATAAAACATATTTGACACTTCAGCATGTATTAAGCACACATCGATTCTAGTCGGAAATCTAATTATCTTATCTATCTACTTTAAAGGTAGATCCTAAGCTTAATGATGTACATGTACATTGTAAGTTTGAAAGCTGTTTTCTCATTACTCTCGGTGATTCTCTCGTACTGTTTGGAACTACTATTATTCACCATTTAAGCTGTGTAATTGAAGAAAAGCTGTACCAACATTGTCGTTTTATGCATATACACATCAATGTACAACATTTTATTTAATATATTGATTAATACACGTACTCCGATTTCTACTTGAAAAGTTATGATGATTTTAGGATTCTAAGAAATGACAGTTACCATGATGGCCGTGTTGCCGATACATTCAAATGTAAAATCACAACCGCCATCAGTCATCTCTCGGATCACTTCCTCGATTGGTCTATCATAGTCCATAGGGTTGATAAATTCCGTAGCTCCAAAAGTTCTCGCTGGAAATATTATAAGACATTCCTTTCTAAACCAATCTGCCCACTTTTAATTGTTAAAAAAAAGAAATGTGTCAGAATTAGGGATGATTAGGGACTAAAACTTCTTTCATGTGAGGAATCTAGATAGCTTACGGGACGTTGGTGGTTCTACTCATGTGCCTGCTCGTGCCTCAAATAATGCACGGATGGACACCTGAGGTTTTACTGAACTAGTAAAGATTAAGATTGAAAGTTGCTATGTAACCTTTAAGGTGTCGCGGTTTGACTAAAAACCCATCAAAATTAACATACTTAGTTTAAGGACAATTGTCCTATGCATGTGTGGAAATTTTTTCATCTGCTTGAAGAGGCTTATCTATTCTTAAACATGCACGGCCTTGATCTGTACTGATGACCTAGACGAAAGTACTACATATATTACGTTAAGGAATACTGTACCTATTGCTTCCTTGCTAGGGTTAATATCTAGAGCAATAATTCTCTTAGCGCCGGCAGCTTTACATCCCATAACGGCTGATAGACCGACACAACCTAAACCCCATACTGCACACGTTGATCCTTTCTCCACCTAAAACACATCGAGATATCTAATATATGCTTGTTTGGTTGGTTTTTTGTTTAGCTGGATGGTTTTACGGCTCACCAAAACAGTATAGGTCAAATATATTTTGCAATGTTGAAGATTGTGTCATTTGTATAAAGCATATTTTCATACTTTCTAGGGTAACTTGACATTTATCTATAAAATAATGCATCGAAATGTAGCGCGTAGTAAACATTATGTCAAAGTTACTAATACATGTTTATTTTATGTTCTTATACATGTAATCATGTTAAAGCATCTATTGAAATGATTAATGTCATATAGCATTGTTGCCTTTGAAACGTCTTTACATAAAATTGAGCCGCGTCACGACAAAACCAACATAGTGCGTTTGCGACCAGCATGGATCCAGACCAGCCTGCGCATTTTATCATTTTCCTACTTGTAATAGGGTTGGTAAGCGAACAGCATGGGTCCTGATCAGACTGCGCGGATGCGCAGGCTGGTTTGGATCCATGCTGGTCGCAAACGCACTTTGTTGGTTTTGTCGTGACGCGGCTCAATTACAATTTTATAATCTTGGGATATGTAAACCGTTACATTACCTTTGCAGTATTGAGAGCCGCCCCGTAACCAGTTGACACACCACAGCCGAGAAGACAAATTTTGTCCATAGGAGCTGCTGAATTTACCTAGAATAACATTATTGACTTTAAGAAAACGTTTTAGTAAATTAACTCCCCTTAAAATATAAAAAGAGACCTTTGTACTATAAGATCCTTTTCCTTGCACATAAATGTATTTTTGTTATATACTACTAAATCTTAGATCTCAAGTTTAACCAGAAGGAATAGTTCATTGATAGGGTATTATTACCGGATGGTAATACATGTACATTTTTTTATTCAACCTTATTATATTAAGATCGGACCAGCACTGTTAAGGCCATATAACAACTGCTAAAAGAAACACATCAGGTACCACGCCATACATTATTGACACAAAAATAATTCCATGTGCGAGCGGATAATTCAGTGACTGTTTCTAATATAGCTTAAACACTTCCTTACAATAGGTTTACCCAATATTCTTTTAAAAAATGTGAAGGAATTAGCTGCAATTGTATTTTCATAACGTACAATAACGGGCAACAAACCAATCTTACCTTGCATATGGAGATATCTGCAACTACTGTATACTGGCTAAAGGTACTTGTGCCCATAAAATGATATACTGTTTTCCCTTTGCACGTGAAACGCGTTGTTCCGTCAGGCATGAGTCCCTTGGCCTGCGTTGCACTTAAATTCAAGTAAAAGTCTTTTACATTAATAAAACACTACTGTGACGTGTCCCTACTTCCTGCAGTGAAGGATAAGATATAAAATGACAACAGTGTTTCTGAACAGGCTGTAGGTTTGTGTATTGCATATTAAAGTAAAAGCTTCAGGCACTAAGCATATGCCCGGTTCTAATTGTAGATTGAAGGATAACTAAAATTTCAGTTACTGGATAGTTCTTAATGAGAATGGACACTCTTCTCTGATATAGCGGGAATGAAAATTCACAAAAGTCTGCACGTCAATACTCTTAAAATTTACTTTAATTGAATTGTTTTAGTCTTAATATTTGAAACATCAGTAACAAATTGTCCATTCATACCTGATTTTATTGCAGCCGTTGGTTTTCGGGCTCTTACAGAGTTTACACTGCTTACATTGCGCCTTATATAGAGGAATCACGTGGTCACCTAAAATAAAAGAACCAAAAATAAAATGACATACAAACCTTGTACTTTCATAGGCACAAACACTTTTGAGATTTTTAAAATAATATTAATTTTCGTCTACAAATTGGTGCTTGACTGGTTTATTTACTTTTATACTATGGTGTCATTATAATTCATTCTTATATATGTAAGTCTAGATAATAATTTTCATTTAGTCAAAGTACAATACCTGGTTGGACATTAGTTACACCCTCTCCGACACTTTCAACAATTCCTGCCCCTTCATGTCCAAGAATCACTGGCCATTGGACTTTACTGTTGAAGGTCCGCCCCTCCATCACGTGATAATCAGAGTGGCACACCCCATTTACAAAAACCTTCATTTTTAAATAGAAAAAAAAACATGGTTGTTTCTCGAAAACGAAAATGTGTTCGATACGCGTTAAGATTTTCTTAACATTCAATGGAAATAAAAAGACATACTTTTGATAAAAGGCACACATAATTGGTACACACACAATATCTGTTCATTTTTTCAAAAAGATAGAAGATTGCAAACACAATTTACCTTCATTCTAACCTCACCGGCTTTGGGTGGTGCCACCTCTATCGTTTCGATGCATAGGGGCTGTTTAGCCTCCCATTGTATCGCAGCCTTGCACGTGATTGTCTTAAAATAGAAAAGTTGTGCAAAATAATGAAGAAAAACATAAAATTTTATTTACTTTTAGAAAATATTGCTTTACCTTGGCCACAAGAGTGAGCAGTAGTCAGTGAGTAATGTTTATTGAGTGAGTAGTGCTTAGTGACAAATATAAATGAAGTGAGCAGTACTAAATAAGTAATGTTCTGTGTTTGAGTAATGCATTGCGAATGAGTAGTTCTCAGTGAGTAAAGCTTATGAAGTGAAGTTGTGATTAGTGAAAAATTTTCATGAAGTGAAGTAGTGCGCAGCAAGTAATGTACATAAAGTGGGAAGTGCTTAGTAAGTTATGATCATGAAATGAGTAGTGATTAGTGAGTAATCTTCATGAAGTAAAGAAGTGATTAGAAGATAATGTAAATGAGATAGAGTAGTGCTTAAAGAGTAATGTTCATGAAATGAGGTAATGTTCATGAAGTGAAGTAGTGCTTAGTGAGTAATGTTCATGAAATAAGTAGTATTTAGTAGGTAAAGTTCATGAAGTGAAGTAGTGCTTAGAGAGTAATGTTCATGAAGTGAAGTAGTACTAAGTGAGTAATGTTCATGAAGTGAAGTAGTGCTAAGTGAGTATACTCATGAAGGGAGTAGTGCTTAATGAAAAATGTTCATGGAGTGAGTACTGATAAGTGAGTAATGTTCATGTAGCGAATGAGTAGTTCTGTATGAGATGTTTATGTGTTGAACAGTCCTGCGTATGTAATATTCATAATGCGATTAGCAAGAAATGAATATTTTTCAAATGTGTGGCGTTAGATGAGTAACGGCGATTAATTTTGATCATTCGACCATCCACGCGCATGAATGACGGTGTGTTGCAAGTGACCGTGCGACCATAATAAACACGCATGAATGACGGTGTGTTGCAAGTGACCGTGCGACCATAATAAACACGCATGAATGACGGTGTGTTGCAAGTGACCGTGCGACCATAATAAACACGCATGAATGACGGTGTGTTGCAAGTGACCGTGCGACCATAATAAACACGCATGAAGACGGTGTGTTGCAAGTGACCGTGCGACCATAATAAACACGCATGAATGACGGTGTGTTGCAAGTGACCGTGCGACCATAATAAACACGCATGAATGACGGTGTGTTGCAAGTGACCGTGCGACCGTAATAAACACGCATGAATGACGGTATGTTGCAAGTGACCATGCGACCATAATAAACACGCATGAAGGACGGTGTGTTGCAAGTGACCGTGCGACCATAATAAACACGCATGAATGACGGTGTGTTGCAAGTGACCGTGCGACAATAATAAACACGCATGAAGGACGAATTACGCACGAATTATCCTACAGAATGACAAATTACCGATTGTTATTACAGATCATTATTTCAATGGATTGTTAGCCTTGCAAAAAAAATCCCTTGACACATTTTAACATATTTTATAAATGTTTACCGTAAGTATGTCATAAATGTAATAAAAATTAATAGGATGTTTTCCTAACGAGACAAAATTGCATCAATAATCTTCTGGGTATTGCGTTTTAACTCTTCACTTGCTGAATTTGTGACGGATATGTCCTGTTTTGAATTTGGAACAGTCCACTAATTTAAAGTTAAAGGTGTTTTTATAATATCATAATACTAAAAACTGAAAAAGTCAGTTCAGAAAGGCACGGACATGTAGACCGGTTTGGCTCAGTAATGGTGGGAGAGACTAATCAATTATGGTTTTAGTAAGTTTATGTTTACTCAAGCAGCCTTTATAAATGCAGTTATCTAAACAAATAGTTGATTTTCTGAGCAAAAAAGTCTTTTGTTTGTTTGTTTGTTTTTTCTTCATTTTGTCAAATAAACTGTAACAGTATAAGAAGATTTCCATCACGGGCAGTTCTACATAAATTTATTCGTGGTACTTGAACTGAAATGTCAAAATGGGTGTACCGTTGCTGTACTTATGAGTAGACTGGTCTCATGTCAGTTTATCACTAACAACAGACTGTCGACCCATTTCTAGACACGCAAACAAAACCCGTCTTCCGAGATCGGGCCAAAAAGTTCCCACTGTTCCAGATTTTCTGAAGAATGGCGCAACATACTTCGTATATGGGTTTTAATTAATGTTGTGCTAATAAAACTTGTTTTTTCTGAAACGTTTGAAGCGCATGTCAAATTTCTAATGAAAGAGCATCGAGAGGAACCTTATCACGTTAAGTGGTTTTGTGTGTGTGTTTTTGCTGTTGTTGTTGTTGTTGTTGTTTTCATATACAGTTCACTGGCGTATTTTAAAGTGTAATGCATTGTATTTGAGCGAGACTTTATAATGATCCCTTTTGTTTCATAAAAATAACAGCTTATTCATAGCGGGTGTAAAGTGTCAATTTACATATTGGTAAAAAACATACATTTTTCCATTCTAAATTCGCCAAACATCGTCACTGTCTTTACGTGGCTATTTTAGGTATGTTCAAAACACGCAAGATGACGATATATGCCAAACATTTGCGTATTTAAATGAATGGACCCTGCAGAAAATTAACAGATATATGCAAATCTGTGCCATTTTTCTATATAGAGTACATATAATTATATAAATCGGAACATTACCATATATATACTAAATTGTACATGTACCATTTTGTTTCTATAACGAGTACACATATATACTTATCGGACCATTTCCCTTGAAATAACACGTCCAAATTGAGTTTACAATCAAGGTCTACCTCATGAATATTTTAAGTCATATGAGTGAAAAAATGACCTGAATTAGTTAAGATAGGTCAATGTATACATTATTGTTGATTACCAAATTAGTTAAGACACGTGCATATTATAAAAATGTAGCTCTACATACACTTGGATGAATTAATGATTGCGTTCATTATACAGAAGTGTACGATTTGTCAAACTTGTTTTCCTTTGCATTTATATTTGTCTAACTTAAGATTTAGTGGAATATTTTCAAATCGAAGGACCAGAAGTAAAATGTTAGGAAATTATTCTTTTCTTGTATGTGTGTCAGCCTTATATTCAAATGCAAAAAAAAAACTACTAAAAAGACTAAAAAAAAGACTAAAGGAGAAAAAAGTATCAAAATATCTCTCCTTTTAATATTATTTACCACTAGCCAGCTGGCAGCAACTGAATCCACCTATGCGACCAGTGCAGACCAAAATTAACAAGCCACATCCGTTCCGTCTTACAATGGTCGGCACTGTATGCTATTCAGTCAGTATTTATTATGTAATGTTCCCTTAAAGTGATGAATGGTTTTGTCCAGATTAAAAGATGGACGTGCCCATTTAAGATATCAAGCACGGTAGTCAATCATACGTTGTTTTACCGGGAGGTCAGCAGTTTTAATGGAGACAAGCAATGCTTATGGAAAGCAATTTCATGTACTTATAGGTCAATGTACTCTCCGTAAAAAGAATTGTTTCGGTAATCTTTAAACTACACATCGGCCAATCTTCAAGCGTCTGGCAATATCAGACGTCATTGCTGATAGATGATTTGTCCACACTTTTCCGCTTTACAGGGATAAAGGATATGCACGCATCGCAAATCAACAATATTTGTCCACTATGTCCGGGTATTTCCAAATCCATAAAGGGGTTTGGTGAAAAGCAATTTGTTTTAGCGAAAATCACTAAAAAAATAAGTGAAAATCAGCAAAATTTGACACACTATATATGGCCAAAACCGATATATGTTCACCTTTCCGAATAATACCAATACATCCATCCGATTATAGCTTACTCGGCTTTAAATGGGAGGGGGAATATTACTATGATAAATACCTCCCATTGGGAGCGTCTTCCAGTTGTCAAATCTTTGAGACTTTCAGTACTGCCGTAAAATGGATAGCTCATAACAAATTTGGCATGTGATATAAAGTAAAAATCCTTGACGATTTTTTGTTCCTTGCACCCACTTATTCAGAGGCCTTAGCCTCACTTCTCAATACGGAAATAACTTAAGCCCGCCTCCCGCAAGAAAAGCTTGAAAAAGCGTCTCTGCTTCTACAAGAGCTATGCTCAAAGCAATCTTGCCAACTTCGAACCCTTCTCTCCCTAATAGGCCTTCTTAATTTTGCATGGTCTGTCATTTCACCGAAGAGAGCATTTCTTAGACGTTTGATTAACTTATCAATTGGAGTAAAAAAGTTGAATTATAAAGTCAAACTGAGAAACTCGGCTAAGGAGGACATGAAAATGTGGTTAAATTTCCTTGACAATTTCAATGGTAATTCTTTTTTCATCAACGAAAAAAGGCTATCCAGTAATAGTTTATGCTTACATACAGATGCTTCACACTACAACCCCACCCGCGCCCCCTCTGTAAAACTAGTAAAATGTCAACGTTTCTATGCATATATATTACCCCTTGTCGAAATTTTGCGAAACCTTCTTGTAAAGAATCTTGTGTAACCAACGATTAAAATGGATACAAGCATAATAACTGAGGTTTCAACCTCATCCCCGGTAAAGTCCGCACTCTGTGGGTACAGCCGAACTGTTAGAATCCCGCTATATGCACTCGCATTGAGAGCTGGAGGAATCTGCATTTGCCCTTCAAATCGAGGACACGCGCACTCTCTTTCACCGATATTCCCTGCACACCGTATGCATGACTTTGAAATTTATCATGACCAAAATAACGCGAATGTGAGGGATAAAAATGTTTTTCAAAAATGAAATCATGAATATAACACTATTAACTAATATTTTAATTGCTTTAAGTATACGAGTATTCATCAAAAACCATATTAATTATTTTCCCGTCAGGACAAACAAGCCGATAACACTTGTCTAACGTGTTGATCTTCGAGAATGGTTACTTCGGGATTTCTATTTTATTTTACTGTTAATAACGCAGATATATTTGACTTTAAACGCATATATAATTCCATGGTTTATTTAAGAAAATGAACCTAAAATAAGCAAAATACAATAGCATCATACGATTAGCATGCAATGTTTCTTTTTAAAAAAAGTAAAACACTTTTATCAAACTAAGCAAAAATTATGCTCAATATTAACTTATATAAGAAAATAAACGTTTTATGTACCTTTCCTGCAGTAGCCATGGTTCAAGTGAAGAAATATAGAACAAGAAAATCTCAAGGTTAACAAGTTATCCATCTAGTGACAGAACAATTTTACTATCATACAAAAGAAAAACGTAGGTCACGAATTTTACTTAGCTCCGGATTCCTAATGTGATAAAATGTTCACTCAGCAATATTTTGTAATGTGTGTCGTCCCCGATTTGAAGCGTTTAATAAGATTTATTGTAAATGTTAGACGGTAAAAACAAATATTAAATACTTAATGTCACAAAGCAAAAAAGGTGGGGGAGGTAAAAACCTATCAAATAGAATTAAAGCTAAGTTTCAGACGCCGAATGGCAGTTTCAAATACGAAAGCAAAAAGAAAATGTGCAACAACCACTGTCACGTGACATTAATTTATTTTATACGAATTTATTTTAGTTCGATTGTGTTGAAACACTATGTGGCGCCGTTATATGGCGCAACGCCGCTAAATGTCGCACTTACCGCTAAATGTCGCACCAATACCGCTAAATGTCGCAACTGCCGCTAAATGTCGCAAAAATCATTTGCCGTTAAATGTCGCAATGTTAACGTTAAATGTCACACGAATTTCCGCTACCGTTAAATGTCGCAACACTACCGTTAAATGTCGCAAGATATAAATTCATGTTAAAATCATGATTAAAAGTAGTAGTAGTTTAATTCAAAACGCCCTCATAGTTATTTTTACTGTAATTGCCATTTAACAAAAAGGATCTTTGTTTTAATTGTTTTCTTTTATGAACCTAAATATCGAGGATTTGAGCTGCTATATAATGTAATATTGACGCTAGAAGGCGTATTCTAGAAAGATACAATTGAAATTCAAGTCTCAATAGATAAGTATTTTTCTTTTGTCTCCCTTTTTCATTTATAACCCTGATTGACAACATCTTAAAAGTATTATGATATTGTCGCGATCAGAATTCGGTTTAAGTAATTTCATTGATTTGAAGACCTTTTTTTCTTGCTAGTACTAATAGTAATAGATCATTTATAGGGCGGTTTAAGCCCCAATTTACACAGCCCTGGTTTGGTGGTCCCGGATTGCACGGTTTTAGTCATACGTGGTAAACGGCGTGGGTCGTTGAAATCGCGTAAGGGCGGTTTGAGAGATCACCACGGTTGTCCATTTACACAGCAGGAACCCCGTACTCTATACTGTTTACCGTGAAAATCGTAGTCCCGGATTGCCACGGTTGCCAGGTAAAACAGGCAGAGCTACGGTAGAGTACATTGAGGTCACTGGCAACAACGCTCCGGTAATGTCCCGGATATTGCAGACAAGTACGGTTATACAACGATGATAGACGGTGGTGCAACGACCTCATGCCGATAGAACAGGAATATAAAAACTTGAAGTGCTACTTTGGATCATTTTGTTTAGAGAAGGAACACGAGCATGGACAATTTGTTAAATGAGAGAAGGAAAAATTCTTCAGCTGGTGCATTTTCAGCTTCAGGTACCTCAACCTCTGAAGGTGTTGTAGACACAGTTTTTTTTTTCTAACTTCCATCCCCTTTCCTTCGGATGGCATCTCTGCTGTCTTTTTACCAAATGACTGATGTCAACGTGGTCAGTCAGTTTTATTCTCATAAACTTGAACAGGAAGCATAGGTGCATTACCAGGGCGTCACCGGCACAGTACCGGCATCACCAATAGCATTACCGTGGCAAAAACGGCGATGGTCGGGATGGACCGTGATGAAACCGTGTCTAGTCGGGTTTCCACCGGAATCAAGCGGGAATACACCGATTTAGCATCGGCGCTTATCGTATATATCCGGTGCTATATCGGGTTCTGAACCGGGAATACACCTGGGCTCTGTCGGGGATGTGTAAACGCAATTTGATTTCTCAGAAAAACACCACTGAACACCTCGGTTCACCAGCTTAAGACACAGTAGCGATACCGTGGCCATTACCGGGACAGTGTTAATTTGGGCTTTTTCAAGCGGAACCTGCAAACATTTTCAATTTTGCCGTTTTGGACTTTCTTTAGGGGTTCTTTTTATCTCTATTTTATCAATGACTGATGTTCCTCAACACACATCTGAACAACTTAAGTATTCAAGGAAAATATAGCACTCAAACCCACTGATCCGGGGCCCAAAGACCAAAGACCAAACAATTTTCAGACAGTAAACCAGTGACATAACAATTAAGCTGATGCTTATGAAAGATTATACTTGAATGTCGAATATGATATCATTTAATTGTGGTTACTTTGTTTCGCTAATATGTGTTAATACAACCGCAGCCAATGCATTTAAATTCAATAGACTACAATGTACAGTTAATTTCAACATGATAAAATTCAAATCTTATGTTTACTTGTAGCGTATCGTTAGTTAGGAGCTGATTTTATTAATCAGGTTGCTCTAATAATTAGTGTACATGCGGTTGTTATCTATCTTCCGATAATGTCAAACCCCTCGCGGGGACGTAAAAAATGGTTAACTTGGGTTTTGACATTGCCTTGTTTTGAAATGTTCAACGGGTTTCCAAATGCAATTACTTATGACTTGCATACTTAAGGGAATTAGGCGTCGGAAACTGATATGTGTTTGATGTTTGATATGATTGTATATCATATGTCATTACTTTCAGCTATTGTTTAACACAATATTTGCATTTATATCAACAGGTATGAGGGGCCTCCGTGACCAAATGACAGCTAACTATTTACTCCCGAGAAATGATTTTTTTTTTCATTAATGAAAAGCTAAACGTGTCGGCGTTGGTTAACCTTTTTGGTTATGTTTTCGATTATGTTTTCGCCTTGATTAACCTTTAGGTTACGGCTTATAGCTAAAAAATTCAAACATATTCACTTAAAACATTTAGCACCTTGATCATTTAGTATTTCTCACAGGGTCGGGTGTAAGATATGAGCGAATTTCACGATTAGCAGATATTATCATATTATATGCCGGCAGTTGAGTAAGCAGATGTCAAAATTAGAAAACGTACAGAAAATTTAGTACATTTTACCATTTGTCAAACACTATTTACGCTTGGGCATTATGGCAAGTAATATTTTACTCGTCAAGTCGCTTTATACTATGATAGATTCTCGGAAAATTTCATTAAATAATAGTTTTTTTTAAAATCATACTGTCAGAGTGCTAATCAAGTTTAAAAAACCTTGATTTTAATAACTGTCAAATAAAAACTTTAATATAGACATAAAAAATCATAGCCCTATTTTAATTTTACAAACCATGAATCAGCAAATAAGAACTCTTGCTGAGATTTGAACTCAGAACTCCTCTTATGTATGTGATACAATAAAAAGAGGCATTTTAAAAATTAAACTACAAGAGTTTAAAACTTACTTACCATGGCTTGTTATTAAAAGATTAACATTCTTCCTACTTTTTTGCATCTATATATAGTTTTCAAATAGCAAAATTTAGGTCTATTATAAATGAAAAAAAAACTGGCCAAAATTCATAATTTTATCCTGAAAATTCTTTTTTAAATCTTATTTAAAGGATTTTTCAGAATCATTTCAACTATTTAGTACATAAGAATTTAAAAAGAAAACAACAAAAAACACACACACTTAAAATGTTTGTTTTTTTCATATGATTACACATTTCTAAAAGATTTTGTAAAATATTGTCAATTTTCTATTCCTTATGGTTCTTATTTTACCAATCTAAGGCATAAGCTGTTCTGATGAATAAGAAAAAATAAAATTGAATTATCAACAGGAATAAATTCTGTCATGTACGTAAATTTTGCTTCTATAGGAGAAGCAAGTAAATGACTGCATACATTGTGTGAAAATGTAACAAATTCGAAAAATTTTACGGAACTAAATTTCAACATTGGTACTGTGACGTCATATGATGACGTCTTGAAAAAGAACGCATGACGTTATGCGGCAAAACAAGTAAAAATGACTTAAAATCACTAAAAAGACTGGTTTGACAATTTTGCTTGTAAAATATATCAGAATGATAAGACAGAAAAAATCGATAACAGGATAAATAGAATGATTGGTCCTATGCACGGGGGAGGAAGTGTTACACGAAGGATGGAGTTCTTATGATAACTTGTTCAGGAGTTCTTGTGATAACTGTCACAGAGTTCGTCGGAAAACATCTGTATATACTACAAAAAACACTCGTTAAAATGGTTATTTTCATCTTTCAAAAATGAGTTTTAGATGCTAAATTAAACTTTAATGATTAAGCTTGTCTTACATCTTGTATTATGTGTCAAAGCCTAATTCACAGGCCATTTTTAATCGCCTCTTGCTTCAAATCTGGTAGTTTTCAGTAAAATTTCTAAATTATTTGCCAATTCAAAAGTTTTGACCTATTTATTTCTGGTCTTCATCCTTACCAAACATAATTACCTAATTATAATGCAAAATTGCAATCATAAAGCACCGGCTAACAGATTTATAGCCGATTTTTCAAATGTCCCGGAGTTCCTGTGATAACTCTGAAGATGTCACAGAGTTCTTATGATAACTTTTGTTAATGCCAGTGTGCTTCTTGCGCTAAAACACAGCACGTTTTAGCGTCTTTTATCATTCAATAAGATTGTAAATCATTATGAAATGCAGTGCGATCATCCTTTGCATATCTGTTAGCCGGTGCTTTATGTTTGCAATTTTGCATTATAATTAGGTAATTATGTATGACAAGGATGAGGACCAGAAATAAACAGGTCAAAACTTTTGAATTGGCAAATAATTTAGAAATTTTACTGAAAACTACCAGATTTGAAGCAAGAAGCGATTAAAAATGGCATGTGAATTAGTTCTTGATACATAATACAAGATGTAAGACAAGCTTAATCATTAAAGTTTAATTTAGCACCTAAAACTCATTTTTGAAAGATGAAAATAACCATTTTAAACGAGTGTTTTTGTAGTATCACGGATTTATATTACAAGGATCGGACACTTCCGTTTAGCTTAAAGTCTCGTCGCGCGCATGCGCGGAATCGCACATAGGATAAAGGTGGACAGAATGAGAGATGGCGGAACGCGCGGAGTGCGAAATA